CATAACATAATTGTGTCCCCGACTAGACACATTACTTCCTCCTCCTTCAAACTAAAAAGCTAAATTAATTAATGGCCAAAAATGTTACTTCTTTCAAGTTTTAAGGCTGATTTTTGCTTCTGAGTGAAGAAACCAGACGGTTGACTGTGGTTTTAAACTGTTCTTTATGGCCAGAACATGACAAACAGTGGATCACTTCACATATCTGAGTTAGAACATTCCAAATTATTATGATAAAATCTTTTTTCAACAAATATGCATGAATACAATTAAGTAAAAGCTTTTCTTCAGTACCTTCTCCCCCCTCAACAAAATAAATATCTTGATATAAAAATGAAGCGCTAATTCATTGGTGATTCAAAGGAATACAATTAAACATTTCTTGAACATTTGTTATATTGTTCTTGAGGAAAAATATGGCACTAATTATCATTTTTGTTTTATTGCCCAGCCCAACTTCCCAGTAGATGCAGAGCAGTACTGGGATCATGTCAGTCCCCACTCACCTCCTCCCTGGCAGTCTACATCCCTTCGGGTCATTTCTAAGAAGGACAGAGGCCTCACTGTTAGTACAGATTAAACTTTGTGTAGACAAAAACATGTTTTTTTTTGTAATATTGGTGGGGTAGAGCCAAGTTGCATAAATGTTGCCCCATCACTGGGATCTGCTGCCTCCATTCCTGTGATGCTTCAGGCGCCATGTCCGAACAGTAGGCATTCCATTCCACAAGTAACTACAAGTAACCTCACACCACTGAATCATGGGACAGTCTATGCAGACCAAAATAAACCCCAAAAAACCCAACAAGAATTATGAATGATCTCTGCCTGGAAATAGGCTTTAGGAGGGTGTTGATCCAACTTTACAAATTTACCAGAAAAGAAATGTGCAAAGACATAACTGCTACTGCTGAAAGCCACAACTCATAAACACAAATACACAGCATACTTCCAAACTTAACCTGCAACAATACATACCTAAGCCTTATCTCTGTACTCAATTTAAATAAATGGTAATTAATTCCATTGCACACACACAAAATATCACAAAAATGTCAAAACACTTTAAAATAAGTTGCACAAAAAAAAAAAAAAAACGAAAACGAATTAAACAGATTATTCATACTTTTCTGGGAAAATAACACTTAATTAAATGCCAAAACCACAGTTCATCACCTTAACCTGCAGTTCCTCCATCGACCACTAGATGTTGACTCAAAAAAAAACAAACAAAAAAAAAACACCACCACACAAAGACAACTTTTCTCCCCACAAGATCTTTGGCTTTAAATACCTAAAATAATCTAAAGCACTTCTCATAGTGTGTAACTTGTTGCCAGATTCTTATTTAGAGAGTGCTTAAGCTGAAAAGAGATTCATGTTTTGCGTTGTGTGTCTTCATGGACAGGTCTCTAAGCCTACACTACACCCATACTCAGCTCCACTCAGACTTCCTCCCCTGTGCAACATACACTGCCGTTTGTTTTGCTGCAGAAAGACCAGATTTGCCCCCTATGACAATATGTTGTAGAAGAAATATTTTCGGAAATTGCCACCAATATTCAGCTTAGACTATGTGAGTACTTCAACAGACTCTTCCTGACTGCTGCCAGACTTGATCAGTGACGCCCAGAGAGCCTTATATCTAACCAGTTTGCCAGATTTTGGAAAAGTGAGGTGAGTAATGTCTCTGCTGTATTTGGAAAATTATAGCGGAAGAACACAACTTCCTAAATGGCAACTGTGACCCTGGTGTGGCCTACAGGTTTTCACAGGTATCTTCCAAGATATATCACAGACAAAGCGAGTCAAGCTCACTGCAGTTGGAGAGAAAGTGCATGTATGAGAGGCAGCGCAAGATTAGCTTGTGAGTGAAAAACAAAGTAACACCCCCAGTAAACATGGTGTGTTTGCAATTCGCCAGTGTGTAAACTTACATTTCTCCTTATGTATGGGGAGATTCTGTAATCTGAGCACAGGTTGTACAGAAAAGATGGTAAATCCAATTTCAGCATTCATAACATCCCTCATAAAATCTTCAGTTGACACCAGCATTGTTCTACAATCCATGGTGTTCACTGATCACCAGAAACAGACACACATGCACATCAAATTCAACCAGGTTTCTTTGCCATTTTGCCACCCAGCTTGTTGTTCTACTTTCCTGCTTACTTGCTGGTGTACATTAAAAATGAACAACACAGCTTAAATGGCTATAACCGGCATCTGCCAGCATCTGTCTGTAGCCCGGTGGGGATTTCCCACTGCAGTCATCCCTGTGTGGTTCTTCCCTGACAGATGCCTCTGCACTGCCCGACACAATTAAATCCAGCTGTGGCCTGATACCTGACAACACGCTGTTGCACCACCATAGCCTAAGTATAACAGGCCTAACAAAAATGTGACCTCTCGCCTTAGGAAAACACACTGGCATGACCATAAGGTGTCTAAATAAAACTTAAGTGTTATGATTTGGTTTGCATAACTCGGGCCTGCTGCTCAGCATTCAGAGGAGGCAGCTGGCACTGAAGGCGCCATCTACCTGCTGCCAGGTGAGTTCTTAACAAATCAAAACACCTGGACTGATAAGTCAAAAAACGGTGTGTTAAAAGTGTGTCAAACAGAAAGAGAGACTGTGTGTCTGAGTAGTAGTAGTAGCAGCGCACCTGAATGAAACACATGGTTGCATCAGTGCCAAACTATGCAGGCCTTTAGGCTTGAAATAGAGCGGAAATACCAAATTCAAAACAAATGTTTCCCCCTTTTTTTTTTTTTTTTAAATCCAAAAACAGACCCAGATACTATTTCTCCCATTGTGTTTTCAGTGAAAAATAAAAAATGATCTTGTGATTTCAGGGTTAACTTGGACACATTTATGTCTCTTGACAGCCTTTTTTAACCACATGTCACAACTTTGTATCTTAGTTATTGAATGCAATGCTTTCAATATATAATGATAATAATATAATGGGCACAGGGTGTTATGTTAGCAGCAAATGTATAGATGGACGGCTCCTGGATCTCCTTTATTACAACTGAATATGAGATTTGGTCCCCTTAGAGGTCCCGAAATTGAGGTCTGCAGCAAAAACTTACAGCATACCTGCAATTACTTGAAAATTAGCACCAGGGGTTAATGTATGAAACTGACTATAAACTATTTCATGTGTGCCAAAGCTTTAAACCCGTTACAAAATGGGGTCTGTGTAGTTTACAGTCTTTGCCTGGGGCCCCCAGTACATGGAAACCCTCAGAAACCCCTGACTTAACGTCCTGTGGCCTTCCCAACTGTATCCCAGGCTGCAACACCAGACACACATTCCTATGCAGAAAGTAGTGGGGTAACTTTGGCCCCATTAACCCTTAAAGTGGTCCAAAGTGAAAGGAGGGGAGAGAACAGGGTTTTTTCCTATAAGTTATCCCTCAATTTAAAACACACCAGTGACGGAACTTTTTCCTCAGGAACAAGTCGTGGAAATAACTTACACCACCACTCCCCTCCCCAAAAAAATAGTCTCAACTTACCATGTGATAGAAGTAGCGAGAATAACTCAAGATTGGAGAGTAAATCCCGTCAAGCGAAACACGATTTAAAGTCCTTTTCTCGGCGGGTGAACGCGTACGAGACAGCTGAAGAGCTCAGACAAGACGGAGCAACTGTGTAAATCTGATGAAATGAGCCTCCATTTTCTCCCCAGACTCCAGGCAGGATCAGAAATGCAGCACAAAGTTGGACACTCGCTGCATTGTTAACATTCCTCAGGTCACGTGAGGGACCGACGCACGTCAGCAGCGAGCCGAAGATCGTCTATTAAGAAGAGTGATTCACTCAGTGGCTCAGTTTTGCTTTTAAATAGTTAATCCTGTCTTGTTTGATTGATGGGATCTCCACGACGGATTTTTAGGGCCACATTAAAAGGGTGAAGATGTTTTATTTATTTTGCATTTCGAGTGTAAAGTGGAAATGACGAGAATAAAGTCAAAATGATGAGAGTAACGTTGAAATGGTACTATGTTGACTTTATTCTCGAAATGCAAAATAACTTCAAAAGTCTTCATCCTCAATTTGATTTACCTGAATGTGACCCTATATTCTGTAACAGGGTTTGAAATGGTCAGCTATGCTGTTTTCTTTTTCTGGGGGAAACTGCAACAGTAACTGTGAACTACTTGCTTGCTCTAACATTTTACTGTGCAAATTCCACAACCACTGGTGGAAGACATCAAGTCAATTTTACTTTCATAGCACATTTTATACAGCAATGTAAACTCAATGTGCTTTTAAAAAAAAAAATACAAATAATTTATTTTATTGTTAGAATATACATATAATAATATAGAAAATAAGCAAATACTCCAAGAAAAGGGGATTAACATTGGCAGAAAGAAAGTGCATCTCAGCTTTTCCAAGAGCAGATCCTGATAATGATTTTTTTTAAAACCATACAATTTACATTCACTGCAATAAGTGCACATCTCTGTAATGGGTGACATCTAGAACATGTTTAAAACCATTACGTGTAGGGTTTTTGTGTGACTCTTTAGCAACTTTGGAATTATTCTAATGGCTTATTAAGTTTCTATTTGTGCGAAAATAAAAATCTGGTGAAAATATTGCCGTCTACCATCGGGGACGCCAAATTCTGATATTCTACACATAGTGACTAAAAAGCAACAGAGTGATAGGTCTCGTTTTTGTTTTTTTACACCTCTCTGACCGCATATTCTAGGCGGGGCTTCCTCCGATGTATTTCTGTCTTTGATAAATCAAAAAGTATCAGTACTTTACTCAGACACTCCTCTCTGGCCTTGGAAGGGATTCTTACCAATGAGCCAGGGGCCATTAATCAGTGTTAATGCAAATAAGGGCCTATACTCTATTATCAAGTATCACACTGTCAATCACATGAACAAAAGAAGGGACCGCACACGCACCACGAAACTTTAACAGTATTCACACACAGACAACTCATCAGCATTGAGGAAGAGTAATAAGGCTGTTGCATTTCTCAAACTTTTAATTTTTCAGTCACAGAGGCAGTAACTAAGAAAACCTGACCAAGAAATTACAAATTTTAAGGTTACACATCATGGAAGCACATGCACCCATAACAATAAAAGGCAAACAACAGGGCAACATAAATGCAGTGTGAGAAACTGGAAAAAAAATATTGTGTTTACAAAAATCACCTACATTAACTAGTTTGTCTGTGAAGATATTTCATTCAACTCAACCTTGAAACTTTTGCATTGCTCATTTTATAGAAGGAGCTTTGTGGAAGAACCTTCAACACTACTCTCCTTTATATAAAACAACAAATGAAAAGTTGTGTTCTTTCTGCTAGAGCATAATATAGATTTAACCAGCATTCATTTAACAAAGGTTTTGCTCTTCACTATTATTTAAACTAGTATTTGGCAGATCTCGCCTGATCACAATCCTCTAGTATAGAGGAAGCGATGCATTATTATGCTTTCAGAAGCAGCAACTGCAATAAATAAAATATTAGATTGTAAGAAAAATATGCCATAGTAACCATCCCACTGTCTTGCTCCCACTTTCAAATGATTACTCTCAGTCTAGCAGCAATTCACCTGTCTAAAAAGCTCTCTTCTCCTTCCTTTAAAACCAAGGAGCACTCAAGTTCACAAGTTAATGCTGATAAGTTTCTGGTTTGTTTGGAGTAAGCAGAAGAACGACAGGGTAGTTAACATTAGCAGTGATAAGTACCATCACTAACCACCGTAGAAAATCAGTCTGATGCGAGCATACGTTACATGCACAAGACAAACATAACTGTTCAGGAAAGACATCCATGGATGGGAACATCCAGCGGCCTGAGAACAGAAGGCACATTCGACTTTGGGCTACCATAGCACACATATCTGAAGCTCACACTGCTTATGAAGCAACAACATTTTAAAGCCTGGCAACAGAACTGAGCCAGTTCAGTGTTTATTGTTGTAACAAGCTTCTCATCATGTGAAGAAACTTTCTCAAATTGATTTTGGGGTCCTGAGCCAAAGCACAAGAACCGCTGTTGTACCATTTAACCCCTCAAAATGTTCTCTTAATCAGAAATACTTTATTGATCCCCAAGGGGAAATTCTTTTGTAAGAGATATAAATAGTTATAATCTATGTATAATTAATTGACATCATTTAAAATGTATACACAATAAATGTTAGAAGGGTGAATAATATAAAACATAATTTTATAATTTCCTACTGTACACACACTAAACTTGGTGAATAACGAATAAGGGGTGCTTTGTTAACATTTAGGTGCTTGACTGTTTAGCAGAGTAAGGTGTCGAAAGCATATTGTACGATGCAAAAATAAACATTTGTAGAAGAAAAAAAACAAAAACAAAAACAAAAAAACAGGCTGATTTGTAACAACAGTCCCAGCTTTACAAACTAAGGCACCAGCAATGCAGGACAACAAAAGTCGCACTTCAATGAGCAGGGTCTTTACCCAGGTAACTCTAAAATCATAATGAGATGTTTTCTAAAGCTATAAACAGATCTTTCAGTTTATGTGACAACATGTAAGCCCATATCTTAGCTTAAAGCTGGGGTGTCCAGTTTAGTTTAGTAGCTTTTTTGTTATATTTGAAAATCCATTCTGTGGGTGTCGCACACTGTAATAATCACAGCCAATCATTTCATTTGGTCCCAATGAAATGATTGGCTGGCCTACCCGTCTACCGGCCTCTTGCTAGTTTCTCCTACATGGCTTAAATTTATTAAACATATTTTTAAAAATGCATTTTAATGGCTGGGCACCCATTCTTGAAACGCCACACATGATCCAAAACTGTTCAATAATCATTTAAACAGAATGCATTGAAACAAGCCAATGAGAATTAAACAGTCAGAAATTAAATGTACATTCTCCAAGGGGCTTAATGTCCGTACACAAAGGCCTGCCTGTCAAATGTTTTTGACAGCTGTCTCTGAGAGTTTGCCCTGCTCCCTGCTGTGTTGATGTTAGACCAACACCAACACAAAATCAACCTAGAAACACGGGGAACAACCATGCTTGTTCCTTCAACTTAACCATTTTGGGAAAACGCTAAACTTTTTTTTTTTTAAAGTTACCTGCAAAAACACTAGTGTGGAGTGCTAAACGTTGACATCAATGTTTATTATACAGCCTAGATTGGAACCAGTGAGTGGACAAACATTTACCTGGCTCCATGAGTGCGGCATTGTAGTATTATATCTTTTTGGTCCATTTCGTTGTTTTTTGTTTGTTTTTTTAAAAAACACCCGGCAGTTTACATTTCTGTAGGACTGTTTAGTTTGTGTAAATATTAACAATGAAGCCCTGTTGAAGAGGACATCTGCTATTTAACCAAGAAGCTATTGCAGAAAAAAAAACAACCTGGAAATGAGGTGTGTTGATAAAAACCCAGCGAGCATAGATAAATTAACACCAAACTCTGGCCATATGGTAGTAAATTGGTCTGTGGGTGGTGTTTGCCTGTACTGGTAGCTAATCATCCCGGAGTGACTATATTCTATTGTTATGAAATCTAGCTGGCAGGCAAAAAATGTACACCCCTCATAAGCCCCCCCATTTACCATAACATGTTTCTATTTCTGCATGCTGAACAGGCAGCAGAAACTTGTATGCATGCTGTTCTTGTTTTAACCTGTTTTATATCTCTTTGTATTGTGTGTGCGCACTGTTCTCAAAATATACAAGAAGGGAGGCGACAAAACAGCTGGTTTAACCAACAAACCCTCTTTCTGCAAGAGAGGGAGGAAGTTATCAGTAAAGTCAGCTGCTGTTATTGTATTTGTTAGAGATTTTAAAAATAAAAAAAGTCTTGCATCACATAGGATTGGATTAGTAGGAACATTGCCTGCACCGCCCAAACTTGCAGTTTAATACTGCAATATAATTTTTTGCAAATGAAAAGAAAAAAAGAAAAAGAAAAAAAGTTACTCACAAAGTTCTCATTCAAAGCCTAAAGAAAACATCCTTTGCAAGCCTGCCATCAGGGGTCATGTCACATCTTCACAAAGTGGTTTCTGGATTTGGGAGAGGTGCGCTTATTTTCGAGTACAAATCCACTTAGATAACAGGGAGTCACGTACACTGAAAGAGTAAATAAAACTGGGTATGTAATAAGTTCATGTAGTAACCATAGTGTTGACACAGGGATGTAGTGGGAGAACATGGAATAAAAGGTCCAAAGCAGTAAAGGGAAGTTAAATGCCTGACCAGCATTAAGGAGCACCAGGCATTTCCTGTATGAATCACTCTAGTGGAGCAGCAGAGATGCACAAGTTGTTTAAGGCACAGGCTACTTGCACAATCTTATCAAAGGTTGAGAGGTTTGATGTGCGCTCAGAGGCCGTGGTGAAGGGGCTCTCGACAGGGCCTGTGAGCATGGCGTACCTCTGCTTCACCATGCAGATCACCCTCTCCACATGCCTCTGCACACTCAGTGCCTCAGAGGAAGTATCAGCCAGTGGCGAGCTCTCTGAGCTGCCGTACGCCTCTCCTTGGCAGCTGGCAGAAATTTTAAACAGGGCTCCGCGGGCGGCCACAGAATCGGCAATGTTGAGGTCGCGACTCGCCAACACCACATCACCTGGAAGGAGCTTGCACAGAAACCCGCAGCCCTCAGCCAGACTTTTGTCGCTGACGTTTCCCAGCACGCCCCTAGAGACAAATGTGACCACGCCTTGCGGAGCCACACCAATCAGATACTTTAACACATTATAACTTGTCCCCACCCCCTGAGCACTTGGCACCATCCTCTGCTGTTGCTGACTGCCCCTGGAAACCGGCTCCTCAAAAGGCACCATGAAACAGTCTATGATGACAGCGCAGTCGGGGTGGGAGGTGCGCAGAGCTGCAGGAAGGTTTTTCCGCAGCTCAGCTCTGGAAGGCCAGAAGACGGCTGTCGGCACCAGAGTGGAGGACATGATGTTGACCATCTGGTGAACTATTCTGGTTACTGTGCCGACTTTAACACCAAAGCGGTAGGCCAGGTCCTGGTTGCGGAGGTCCAGACGGAGACGCATCAGTGTCAACAGCAGCTGCTGGAACTTGGAGAGCTTCATGTTTTTCATCCCGTCCATGTGAGGTGCCAGCAGCCACATGACCGTCTCTAGGACAAAGTAGTTGGGTAAACCAGTGTAGAACTTTACTTTCTCTGCATCGTTCCTCAACGAGTTCTCAGAAAGGGACATTTTCTCCACAGACTCCCTGAGGGCCTGGTTCTCCTTCTTCAGGGCTTTCAGGATATCGTCAAAGTTAACAGGTGCATCGGACGTCTGAGCGAACTTCCCTTTCTTGCTGTCACACACAGATTCATCGTCATCGTCTTCATCAGTGCTTAGGGAGGAGGACCCACTTTCCTCCACAACGGCCCCCAGCTCCCTCTCGTCAGGATGCTCTTCCTGGCCCAGCTCCCCCACAGACCTGCCCTGGCCCTGCAGGAACAACAAGGCGTTGGCCGCCTCCACACGTGCTTCCTGCTTGTCCATGGTCTCTAAGGCACCTGGCTCCTTCATCTCTGGGGATAAGGGAGCTGCTGTGAACACAGAAGGAACATAATCTGGCGAACGTGGATTCTTCACCTGTTTACCTGCATGTGGAAAAAGAAGATGTAGTAAATGGGGGAAACTGTCTCTTTATGGCAGTTCCACCACTAACAGTATACTTTTGTAGAGTTTGAGGACAAATTATAGTGGGAAAGCAGCCAGGTTGTCCCCCCCAATAAGACAGTTTGATAGCAACAGATTTGTTGGGTTAGGGATAGAATTATGATCGGTGTAATGAGATTTCTTGTGTGTGAAAATGTAGGGCTTGCACTGATGGAAAATATATTTCTTCAGTTATGAACATTACTATACATAAGTATGAACAGTATATTTATGAAACAGGCGGAAGTTTCATATCATTACAGGATCCAAACTTTAGTAACCTTATCTTATTCTTAATTACTTTGTTGCTGAGAAAAACTGTGTATGTTACAGATAGGCAGAGTCCCCCCAGTCCTTGGGCAAGATACTGAACCCCAAATTTCCCGATAGTTGTGCTGTGTGTGTGTGTGTGTGTGTGTGTGTGTGTGTGTGTGTAATCCGTGTAACATTTTACAGTCCAATAAGAGTGCAATGTGATGAATATAATAACATAATAATTAAAAAACAACTCTGCAGCTAATGCATCTCTGGAGTTTCCCCTTTTAAGATAACTTTACATCAACCCTGTGGAAAACTACAGTACTAAAATCTTACATGACACCACCAGACAAAGTAAATAATGAAACAAAGAAAGAAACAAGGTTTTACCACTTATTTAGGTTTACTTTGAACTACTAACCAAACAGACTTTCCAGTCTTGTCCAAATGAATTGAAACCATAACTGGCACAAGTCCCAAGATGTGAGTTGAATGAAGTTCACATTTTGTGAACAGTTTTGGTTTTAAAACTGATTTGACATTTTAGCAGATAGTCCAAGTCATTTTGGTTTCAATAACTTAGAAATAAATCTATCTATATATCTATTTAGAATTAGCATAACTAGTTTAGAAAATAATTACCAATTGACGCCTAAATCAAGTGTTTTCTATTGCCCGTTGTAAATACACCACATATGTCACTGTACCTACTAAATTTAATCAAACCAGAAATCTTTAGAAACAACAATAATCCACTGACCTGAAATCTAAAGAAAAGGCATTTTGAATAGCTCAGTTAGACTATGTGAAATTCCAGCAACATTAATCTGACCCGGAACAAAACAAAACGGTGAGACACTTTGTGTTTCGGCGTTGTACAGCATTCATACCTGAGATGAAGTGAGTACTACACAGCCGACTGCCGTCGTTTGGAACCCAGCCCTCGCGGTTCACAGCAGCTATCCAGCGCTGCTTCCTCTCGGGGTCCCGGGGGAACCGGTAGAAAGATAAGGTGGTGCCCGGTGTCCTTCTGTTCCTGCAGCCTGCCACCACACACGTGTGAACCATAGTAAGGCCACGGAGAAGCGTGGAGGTGTGCGCTATTTGTTGGGTGTTTTGACTCCCAAAATGGTGGCCGACCAGACGGTGAAAAAAAAAATAAAAATACCCTGTAGTACCGTCATCAACGCTCGTTCTGCGTTCCCCGATCTAATTGGACCATCTTAGGGAGACGTCACTGAAATGCGATCCTTTTCTCACTGTTTTGTGCTGCAAACAACGATAACGGTCCGAAATTATAGTAAATCAAACCAAATGTCGTGGAAAATACAACAAAAAATGCTAAGTATAACTGGTTACAGCAGTCAAATAAGAGGGATTAAACAAAAGACGGAGAAAACGTTAGCGTAGCGGTTAACTAGCTAGATGCAACTACTCACTTCAGTTACCCTGCTCGACATATAAGCACATTTGTATTATAAACAATCAACAGTAGCATGGTTGCAAATGACTATCAGGTTGTCTGAAATACCCCCTTTTCACGGGAAGTCTATGATCACGGGATGGCTTTATGGCATTGTTTAATTGTTTTTTTTTTTTAGTTATTTTGCACCGCCGTTTGGAATGACAAAAAAACTGTTTACAATATCATTTACAGTATCTTTACTAATAGCTTTTTGTAGTTTTTAGTTTTTAGTGTAGTCTTTAAGTATGTCTTGTGCAGACCACCACTGGTAAGTTATTGTGACATTAACTATGAAGATCAGCATTACACAAATTTGTAATCTTACTTGTGTGTTGATAAATATGTAGATATATTATCAAATCAAATTAGCTGAGCTTAACGATTTTTTCCACGCATCCCCTGGTAACCACAGAAGTACCCCTGGGGTACAAGTAGTGCTGGGCGACTCCCTGTGGCCAAAAATGTTTTCACAATAAAATAATTTCATACCAATTGATGGAAAATTAGCACAACAAATGTCAAATCAATATTTCTTTTAAGTTTAAAGGCTGATTTTTCTCCTAAGTGAAAATTGAAGAAACCAGATGGTTAATTGTGGTTTTAAACTTTTGGTCAGAACATGACACTTGATGCAAAACAGTGAATCACTTCATAAATCAGAGGTAGAACTTTTTTCAAAAAATATGATTAGTAACTCTTTTTTCTGTCTTTTTCCCCTCAACAAAATAAATATCTTAATAGAAAAACTAAGTGCCAAATCATTTGTGATTCAAATGAATTAAATCAAACATTTTTTGATGATATATTGAACACCTGTTACATTGTTATTGAGGAAAATTATTTTGCAATTATTATCATTATTGTTTTATTTTCCCGCTCAAGGTACCCCTGGTTGGGAATCACTAGTTTATATGTTCCCTTTTCGCAGCCATATATTCACATTAATAAAATAACAAACTTTACATTCGCAATATGGCCAACAGTACGTGGACTCCAGCTGTCCTGTAGCGCGCTTATGTACATTCTGATCAAGTGTGTGCGTGTATGTGTTTGTGTGTGGGGTGGGGGTATTAAATTGGCTCTTAAGCTGTCTTTTGAAAATGGTTAACACTTAAAAACATCCATTAAAAAATGCTCAAAAGCAATTAAATGTAAAAAGTTACATTACTTTGATAAAGATATTGAAATAGATTACATAGACTACTATTACATTTTAAATAGGGTAATTTATAATCAGTTATCTATTATATTTCCAAAGTAACCTTCCTAACACTGGTGATATGGAGGTTGGGAATTAGGCATAATTAAGGGTTAAGCTGCAGAAAAGGGGTAAAATATCTGCAGCTACTAAGGCTTGTGTGCATGTTTACACCTTTATGTGACAGAATTTTTATTGTCAGGGCCTCCGCTGGTCATTGGAAGTCATATGTTACACTGGGACCATAGAGGTAGACTTGCCATATTGTAAATCAAAGAGCTTTTTAGTCTTAATTATTAATTCTGTAGACTTATGCTGAGTTAACCCTTAGGAGTCTTGTGCTATTTTAGGGGGTCACACAAGAGTGTTATGATTTTATTATCTATATAGGTCAATATAAAATCAGAACCAGAAGTGTAAATTAATGACTAGCTATGCTTCAGATTTATTCCCAATCTGGGACACATACAATGAGGATTCCTTTTGTGAAGTTGTTTTTTTCCTGCAGTGTGTATTGATAGAAACAGGCATCCAGAGACCAGTGTCTCTGTAACTTAAAGATGGATATACAATGAGGTTTTTGTGAGTCTAGATGAGGCTACGTTTGAGGTCCCGATGAGACAAAGTGTAATGTATCCAGGCAGCTGTTAGTAGTGTGTATTCAGTTTGTACACAGAGGTGTTCCTTGCTCCTCCCACATGCTGCAGCCTCTTGAGCTCGGTTAGACAGAGGATGTATATGGGGGTCCTGGTTCCAACATTGGTTATCTTCTTCAGCTCCTCCATCGGAAACTCTGTCTTTTCCCCTGCAGAGGGCACCGCAGAACAACAACAGATTAGATACATGATCAGACAGCTGTTAAGTCCAGTGCTCTTAATAGGTCCCATGTTTGTTTCAAAAGAAAATACATCAGATATAGTTGTAAAACCTGGCTTTCTAACTTATTTTATGTACTTAACCTGGAGAGGAATATAAAAATAACCTTATTTTGGTATCCGTGTTGTCTTGATTGCATTTTTGAGTGAGGGTAAGTGCAAACATATTTAAGCCAAATCAATGTAAAACTGGTGACAATTAAGGGCTGAGGCTAATCCTTCCTAATACATCAGTTTTGCTAACCTAAACTAGGTTAAATTACTGTTTAGCAAACAGTTATGTATTTTATTTGTGTGTACATGTTTACTAGATGAATGTTCTCTGTTGTACTTTCTCCATTTTATTTATTTAGCTGATGCCTTTATCCAAGGAGACTTACAATTAATGTATTCAACCATGTGCAAACAGCCAAAAAACTACAAGAATCATCAATTTCATGCTTCAAAAACTGCTTCTAAAGCTACATTTATAAACAATGAGACAGAAATTGTTGTTCTTTTTCTAAAACTTAAATGATGTCTTGTTTTTGGGACAATGTAACCACTTTAACAAGTTTATGAAAATAATTTTTTGTTACTGTACTAACACTTTGTTAACAGTGTCTCATTAAAATTTGCTCAGTTTTATTTAATATTGTTGTGAGTTTCTTCTTCTAGCAGCGGTGAATGCTTGTGGTCTGAAAACAATACATACATGATATTTCTCTCCCACATGATGAATGCTATAATTAATAACATAAATAAATAAAATCAATTGGCATGACAGTTAAATATACCACATGCATTCTCCTGGAGTTGCAGTATGGCTTTTAGATGTAAACCAACTCCCGAGGTGAAATCACCTTGCTACTTGAGCCTTTATAAGCAGCCCATTACATCACACTGGGCATATCAAGCTTTTGTGGCCACATACAAGGTTAAAGGCTGTAGCCAGGTGTAGGTAGTCCCCTGTAGTCCACGATCAATCGTTATAGTAGAGTTTATTGAGTTAATGTGGTTAACGCCTTACATTGCAACTGGGGGTCACACATATGAGTGCTGTGAGTTTACACCGGCGAGTGAGATATCACCATGTAATACAGCCTTGTGGTGTAAATTAACTCCTGAGATAAAATAGTCATGTGTCGCTATCTGATCCTGTTTTTAGTAATGAACTGCATGAGATACTTCGTATTCTACTTTCATGGTTACTTGTTGGGAGGGATTATGGTTTGACTCGTGCTGTGGAGGAGCACTGACCACTGATTTTCATGGGCAGCTTTTTGCATTAAATACACCACACTACAGCTCAACAGGAAATCGTGACTAACATGGGCACCTTATTTTTTCCGTTCATTTAGAGCTTATGCAAGTGGAAACCACTGCTGTTAATTGACCGACATCAATTAAATAAAAATGATCTCAATTAGCATTAGTCACATCAGCTTCTCTTTTGAATGCGAAACAGTCTGCGTTAATGCTGGATACTATTTTGCAGACAGCAAGAGCTTCATGGACCAGGGCAATAATGCCGTTGCTACTGAACTGTGTTGTATTCATTGATAAAACATCAAAGTGGAGGGAACATTTTTAACAAGGTTGTGTTATGCAGCCTAACAAAGCTGGGCAATATCACCACAAATCAATATCATAGTAACGTAAATACAATAAACTGATGATAAATAAAAGAGGCTACAGAATATTCTTTAACCAGGGGTTTGTACAAATAACAGTCTGAATAATATCATTAGGCAAATGAACATGTTCAATTCAACCATTGTTGAATCGTCTTGAATGAAAATGTTGAACTAAGTCATGAAAAACTTAAAGCATGAGAGTGGATAACTGTGACCGAGTTCTGTAGTTTTTGGTGATCACTGTAGCACTGACCTTGACACTCTGCCGTGAATGTGTTGATGTTGTGGACTGCCTGGTTGAGGCTGGACAGAGTCATCTGCCTCAGGTAGCTGGGTAAACTCTGGAACTCGCTCTCTGACACCACAGACAGACTCACAGATCTGGGAAGAGGACATGTTACAATTAAAATATGGATTAAAAAAAACCCACGCATGAATGATATCAGGACAAAATTAATAAAGCAATGAAATAGAAGGAAATAAACATCAGTCATGATTAGAAACAGGCAGGACAGATAAAACTAACCAACTCAAAATTCCCAAATCTATTGAAAATATACAAAGAAATTACACTACATCCCCGAATCTCTTTAATTAATAATATTTATTTTACTCAGCAGCAGTCTGATCTGATCTGCAACTTTATTTGGGAGATTGTAGATGTCTAAAAGCATTTATCCAAAGTGGATCACACTGTGGTTTTCAGAGTTACCTGTTTTTATCCTTTTCCGGTCGGACGTGTGGTTGCACAACCACCATGTGGGACTTCTTCACCTGAGCCTGGGACAAAAGCTACAAAAACAAAAGAGACATTATAAATGAAAAAAAAAAAAAAAAAGAAAAAAAAAAACACACACACACACACACACACACACACACACGAGAACAGTATGGCAGGAAGCTTAAATCTTACATGTCAAACAAATTTTAAGTCTTCAAATCAGGGTTCTTTTCTCATGAGATCAAACTAAAGGTTGCTTGGATGAAGGGGAAATAAATCTCAATCTAACATCGTCAGCAGTACAAAATGTCTGTAGTTCATCAGCTAAAACAAAACTGCAGGTGTGATCTTTTTTTTTTTGCTGTAAAACAGGAATAAACAAGACTTACTTTACAGATGTCCTGTGTAACAGAGCTGAGGTCTGGCATCTCTGGGGTGCCGGGCTCTTGGTAGTCCCTCCTGATGCGAGGTGTCCCCAAGCTGAACTCCTGGGTGGGTCCGTCCAGCTCCAGACTGTTGACAGTGGGATCTTTCGTCACTTTTTCATGCTCAGTAGTCTTCTTCGGCATTTTTGCACTTCTCTAGAAAAAAGATTAAAGAAAAAGGCTCTAGTTTTTCCTCTCGACATGAAGGCCGTATTTCACAACACAGTAGCCAAGAGTAAATAATAGTTTTCAGATCATTTGTGCTCCCCCAAACTGACTAGGTGTGGAAAAGTTTGTCAGTAAAATGCAGCATAGTGTGTCCACTTAGCCTGACTCGTTTTGAAAATACTGATTGTGAATTTTATTAATTTGCTATTTTTGTTGTAATTTGTTTTTTGCTATTCGTGTCTGTTCTTTTTTTTATCTTAGTCATTTACATAACTCTCAATTCAAATGGTCTAGAATTATTATTCTTCAATTAATCACATGGCTCTGTGGGTTTTACTAATCTTTTCAAAAATATAGTCTCGTAAATTTTGGGATGAGTAGTGTGGCCTGTGGCAAAAAAAGATAAACAACCTTTCCTTTTGTCTTACACTTTGTAAAGAATTTCCCAAAACAGACTCCAGGTTTGGCATCGCTGGCATCTGCTCGTCCTCCACATTCAAGATGGATCTCTCTGGCACATCGTATTTCCAGGTGCGTTTGGAGCAGGTTGCTCCATTACGAGTAGGTGATGGAAGTTCAAAGGTTTGGCTTTGATCATCATCATCATCATCAACTTGTACGCTGACAGGTTCAGGCTGCTGTGCACTCTGCAAGCACATGCAAAAAATGCACAAACTCGGAGTTGAACATTTGTGTTCTGCAAGTCTGGATATGAAAATAAAGAATGTTTTGCTATTAGTTGACACAGATTTTTTATCATCATTCTTTATACCTTTTTGGTGCTGACCAGTCGGTTCACGTATGGGGTTTGAAACGCTGGCACCTCAGGGGTGGAAGGCACATTATCAGGGCAACTGGGGGATTCTGGTTCACCATTGCAGTGACCATTTGTCTTTTTGATCTTGAACCCGGGGGTGCAAAACACAGGTGGCTCTGGGGACTCCAAGTTGTTTGCTGAAGGCAGTAAAAACAATGTGATATAAGTGGATGGCAAAAACATGTTTCATTTCAGTGCTTTCTCTTATTTTAAGATGGTGGCATTTTTTTTTTATTTATCATCATTATTAACTTTTATATAGTCTAATTCTTTAAGTATAAGTTTTCCGAAAAGCATCTTAAAGTGGCGGTGTCATCCTGTAATATTCATAGGTTACATTTTTGAAAAGTGAAGTGACTTTATCTAATAATCACTCACAATAATCACTCATATATTGAAACCAGATTTTCTCTAAAAAAAAAAAAAAAAAAAAAAAAAAGTCTCAATTCCATTTTACAATTTAACTACAAGTAACTTTGTTAATAATTTAATACAATGATTTATGACTGAGAGCCACTGTAGAAAAACTGTTAATTCCTAGTTCATCACAATTACTCATTCTCATCTGTGACACCACGATGGTGGAACAAGCTTCCACATGCCATCAGAGCAGGGGCGTCCCTCTACAACTTCAAGAAGAACACCTCTAACATGCACTTCTACTTCTTCTATCAATTGCACTTTTTTGTTAACTCTTACTTCTTTCCCTAGGTATTACCGATATTTACCCCACTGATTCCATACGTGCTATTAGCTTTTGGTAGTATTTATTGCTGCCCTTATTAGTGTGCATTTTCAGTTGTAGATCTCGTGCTGTATTGATGCTCTGTTGATGCTTGTATGTTGTTCCTCAAATATAAGTCGCTTTGGATAAAAGTGTCTGCCAAATGAGTAAATGGAAGTTAAACAAAACAAAAAAGGTGGGGACAATATTGTGTACATACATACGAATTTTGAAGAAAAATGTCTTTATATTTCTCACTGTAACGTAACGAAAGTAGTATTATTATGGTACCAAAACCCAGGTATTGAATTGGCACTAGTATTGAAAAATTCCAAACTATACCTAGCCCTCATTGTGGAGCTGTTTAGAAAAGGAATAAGAGCTAAGAGCTCAGGAGAATGTTAAACATGAGCATGCTTGATCACAGGAAAAACAGAGGTAAGGTCAGCTAAAGATGGCAGTTAGAGCCTAAATTTAAGATGCGAGAGCAGGACAGTTTCATACCTTTTCTCTGCAAACTCTCCATTAGAGTGTTCACTGGTGGTGCAGGCATTTCTAGTGGTGGTCTGTTAAAGATGAGAACAATCATAAATCAGTAATAAGTAGGGACTAATGACTTGCTACAAATCCCACATGTTGCCAGAAGAGGTCAATAAAGGTTGCGATTACATAACCCACATTATGCTCTACCTTTGGGGCTTTTCAACGTTCTTCCGGAACAGATCCATAGTGAAGTCGTTGTTCAGACACATGGTGTGCTCTGAGATGCCAAAGTCATGCATCTGGGGTGTCTGTAGCTCATCGTCATCCATCCGCAGAGCACATTTGGGAGTTAAGGGCATGGGTGGCGGTGCAGGCGTGTTGAGAGAGGGGTGAGGGAGGCTCATTTGAGGCATAGGGGGCACTTCGGAGCACCACTCCGCCCCAGCCAGGGCTCTCTTCAGCTGCATCTCAGACAGGCCAAAGTCAGAGAGCTGCGGGGTGCGCAGCACATCAGTGAAAGGTGGAGGTCCCACTTTTAGGGATGATGAGGATTGATCATCTCCAATCTCTTCTCCTCCTGCTGACTTGGTTTCATTATCACCTACTTCTTCAACTTCAGCCTCAGACTCCTGACCTTTGGCCTCTGGTTAAGAGAAAGGTACAATAAAAACACATTGAGTGCCTCTTGTTTAGAAATTAGGAACAGTAGACATAACTTCACCTTGTAGAGCAGTACATCATCAGTAAATATCAGTGTGTGCACAAAGATGTACATTATGTTTGATAACTGACACAGCTCATTACTTACTAATTGTTCTCTCTGTGTCTTGGGGGGCTTGGTAACCATATTTTTCCCAGTGTGCCTTAAGTGCCTGGATGTCCTTAGTGACCTTCTGCTCCATCACTCTGCTCGCTTTAATGAAGCTGCTAACCTCATTCTCCTTTGCTTTCTGCTGAACCAACTGTTCCTGGATCTGCCCCTGTGTGAGGACAGACCAGAGTTGAGCAGTACTCTCCTTTCCAAAGTTAACAGGCCCACAGACTTGTGATAATATTTTTCACAAAACTGACTAAAGTGCTAAAGATTGTGTGTTATAATATGGGCATAATACATTAAAAAGTTCAGAAATTCTTTATGATGCTTAAGGAGGAAATTATTAATTCTGCACAAACAATGACCTATTGTTAAATTTGCTGCCACTAATAATGTATTTTCCTGAAACAGTTATGTTGATTAAACTCATTGATAGTGTTATCTAAAAAAAAGTTATAAACTATATTGCAGGGCTATTGTGTAAAAAATGTGTAAAAATAAATGAACATTGCACTAATTATTTTTTGCTCATGTATACTCCTTACTACTATAATATAGTATTTTACATATACACATATACACATGGTGTGCTCTGAGATGCCAAAGTCATGCATCTGGGGTGTCTGTAGCTCATCGTCATCCATCCGCAGAGCACATTTGGGAGTTAAGGGCATGGGTGGCGGTGCAGGCGTGTTGAGAGAGGGGTGAGGGAGGCTCATTTGAGGCATAGGGGGCACTTCGGAGCACCACTCCGCCCCAGCCAGGGCTCTCTTCAGCTGCATCTCAGACAGTTATTATTAGTATTTGTCTATATACAAACTTTCCATCCATCCATTAAGCACCAATATATCCATCGTCAACCGCGATGACATCGGGCGAAAGGCGGACAGGTCGCCAGTCCATCACAGGGCCACACGTAGACAGACAACCACTCACATCCACACCGAAGGACAATTTAGGGTCACTAATAAACCTAGCCTGCATGTCTCTGGAGGGTGGGAGGAATCCGGAGAGAACCCACAGGACACGGGGAGAACATGCAAACTCCACAGAGAGGCCACGACCTTCTTACTGTGAGGCGACAGTGCTAACCGCTGAACCACCGCGCCGCCCCAGCACCAATATATATATCAAAGTTAATTCCTGTGAAAATGTGGCAATAAACCTGATTCTGATCTGATATGAACTGAAAATCATGTCAACGGACGGTCATTACAAAAAAGTAAAGTAAATTTTACATACCGAACACTGTAGGGTTGTATGTATTCTGCGTAAGTGTATGGTGGGAACGTGATGCTGGAAAACAACGATACCTTAATAATATCAGATAAATAATAAACAGAGTTTGGTGTAACGCCGTTACCTTCATGTTCCGGACGTCACAGTTCAGTTCGTGATATGCTCGCATCGCTTTCGCTGTGGTGTCTGAAATAAATAAATTAATAAAGAACTTGTATTGACATCTGAAAACTAGCTAAATTATTTAAACATGCTTTATTGTGGCTGAACATCAGGATTGAGTGTCACTCACCGCTGTCAGTGACACCGTCGTTGTTGCGGTTTTCAAAGGTTTCCTGGAGCTTGGCAGTTTCTGACTCTAAAGTCACCGCCAGCTTTTTCAGCTTCGCAAAGAACCGTGCCGTCGGGTCCATTTTCAGTTAAGAGTCTAAATGATCCAAACGTGCTTTCAAACAGACAAACTCCGTCAGTGAAACCACCGAACAAGCTGTTTGTTTACTTTCTGGCAGAAAACAACTTTTCGATTTTGGCGCCTCTTCCGGCTTTAAGCGGAAACGTCTTCTTCTTCTTGAGTTTTAGGCGCTTGGTCCAAATAGTTCTGTATGGTTATGTCTATGGTTTCATTCGCGCCCCCTATGTTAACAGTTTTTTCTTTCCAGAAAACAACAACGTTGGAAATTAAGGAAATTAACATAGACTGGAAATTAAGAGAAATGAATAAAGTAGCTTTTCATACAACGAGGAAAATAACTTTTGGCATCCATTACTATGGAGGACCGTGCCTGCCACCTGAAAATAAATACAGAAATTTAAAAAATGCTCAATAAATACATAAATATCCTATTCATTTTAATTTCTGTATTTATTTTCAGATGTGCCAGACACGATCCTCCATACATTACGGGGGTGTTTCTGCAAAATTCAAACTGAATATAAATAGATAACTATAATTGAGTGTTTGTGCAATTTCATGATATCTGGAAGGGGTCCAATGGTGTCAAATATGAATTTAATTGCAGCATTCTGAGATTCATATTTAAATACAAACATGTATTTTGTTATTCACTGTGTGTATTACTACTGTTGAGATTAAATTTTTGTATATATATACAAAAATTTAATCTCAACAGTAGTATATAGTATGTATTTGTTTGTATAGGGAGTACAAGACCCACATAAATGTGTTGTCTATGTATTCGTTTGGGTGTCGTTGTGGGTCGTCTGACCACACCCAAGTAGCTGCAATCTGTAAATTACTCGACCTCTGTCTAAACACCACCTACTTCCAGTACAACGGTGGATTCTACAGACAGAAGCATGGCTGTGCCATGGGCTCACCGGTATCCCCGATTGTGGCAAACATCTACATGGAAGAAGTGGAGAATAAAGCCCCCCAACTCCTTCAGAGGAACAGCACCGAGCCACTGGTACAGATATGTGGACGACACCTGGGTCAAAATTAAAAGCCAGGAAGTGCAAGCCTTCACAGAACACATCAACCCCTGTGGACAGTAACATAAGGTTCACACGAGAAGATGTTCACAACAACAGTTTGGCCTTCCTGGACTGCGCTGTACACATTGAAGAGGACAGGAGCGGAGGAAAAGAAGGTCAAATGCAACAACATTGTGATTCCATACGTGTCTGGAGTATCAGAGAAACTCAGGAGGATTTTCAACAAACATAACATCCCTGTGTTTTTTAAACCCAAGAACACACTAAGACAGATGCTGGTACACCCCAAAGACCGCACACCCAAACACAAGAAAAGCAATCTAGTGTATGCTGTCCAATGCAGTGAGGAATGCACAGACCTGTATATTGGGGAGACTAAACAACCACTACACAAACGCATGGCTCAACACAGAAGGGCCAACTCCTCAGGTCAAGACTCTGCAGTCTACTTACATCTGAAGGACAGAGGACACTCGTTTGAGGACCACCAGGTGCACATTTTAGACAGAGAAGATGGATGGTTTGAAAGAGGTGTCAAGGAAGCCATCTACACCAGGGTTGAGAAGCCGTCATTGAACAGGGGAGGGGGTCTACACCACCACTTATCCCCCACTTACAATGCTGTCCTTTCATCACTTCCCAGGAAACTCAACAAACGTAACCTATTGGCCTCAGGTGAAGATACCAACGATGGTCGTTCAGTCTCGGCCACAGGTAGTCTTAACGACTGTAACGACTGTCGTCACAGAAACAAGGAACACTAACGAACCAGCGGTATCGATGACCCGGGATAACGACCCCACTGAGGTTAAATAGCTGAGTTTCCCTGCCAGTCAGTCAGAACTGAAGAAGTCCTTTGGATGAGGGACGAAACGTCTTCCAGTATCTTCAACCAAGTCCAGTTGCCCTTGATTTTAACCTTCGTTGGATAACTATGACCTGGATGACTGAGAATCTTCATAGACATCTACATTGGTAATTATCAGTTTTAAGTTACTATAATGTTTATATTTGGCAGTCCTCCGTGTCCGTGTTAGTATTTGTCATGACCTTAGAGCCAGGTCATGACAACGTATAAAAGAAGAATGTGTGGAATAAAAATATAGACATTTCTGTTTCTGCTGCATCGATTTTGATTATTTTAGTTTTAAACTGTCCTTTGTGAGGCTGATAATGTTATAGGAGTGTAATTGGTGAAGTACTCTTTTAATGCTTCGTAATAACTGTTCACAAGGGCCTGCATTTTGTTTGTCTTATATCTCTATAGATTACATGGATTACGCTCCTATCATGCATAATTTTTCCACGCTCCATCTTCCTCTCAAACTCTGAAAGAGCTGTGGGTGGAGAACCCTTATCAGATTAACTGGTTGTTCAGGCGAGTGTATAAATATTGGACAAACTGTGAAGGTCAGTTCAAACCTGCACACTGATTAACTGAGGTGAGTTACAAAAAGTACAGGTTTCAAGTTTGGTCTGGTAAGTAGGTTATAAGAACAGTGAATTGATTTCCACCAATTGTAGTAATTTCTAAATATGTCAGGAATGTCTTACAGCAGTTATCGTAAATGTGGGATTAATTGTTCACTTTCTCCACAGGTAATTTGTTAGAACACAGCTCTACACCAATGGCAATGTTTGGGAAGGTTTTAGAGCCTGTGGGCTATATGCAAACTGTGAGGTGAGTTTGTACAAGTGCATCTGAAAATCTCATGGACTGCTGAAATAAAACAATATATTTGCTTAAGTTGTCGTATGTGAAAGATATTTATGAAGTGAATCAGGAGTGTGTGTGTCTGTGGTACTCAGAGTCCTGGTCCAAGGCATTTGCTCCTATCTGGGCGGCAGCGCCACGGCAGAGGAGACTGAGGTGTCCAAGAAGAACTTGGACCACATCGATCAGGAGCTGGGAGAATCAGGTCACGGCCTGTTGGATGACCAGGAGGTCCACCGACTGGAGGATGACCTGGCAGTGGTCTACTACCAGCTTGGCACAGCGGTGAGTAACCTGTCCCTCATCCATGCAGTTATACATAGTAGAGTAAAGTACTTGTCTGGGTATTTTGGAGGGTAGTCTAATATCAGCTTGGTAAGTGATGAGAGATCAACAACAAAAGGAGGATAGAGGTGTTTTATTGTGAAGCTGAGGTTAGGGTGAAGCTGTTTCCCCACAGTGCTGCCAAAATTATAAAATTATATGCCATATGTGCCATATGTATGTGTTTGTGTCAGTGCTGATTAACAGATAATTATTCAGTGACAATTTTGATAATCGATTAATCAATATAAGTAAATGTTTTAAAGACAAATTCCAAACATCTGTATATTTTTACGTTCTCCAATGTTAGAATTTGTAGCATTGATAACTGTTATAAGCAACAAGCTTTGTCCTTATTTTCTGACATTTTACAGATCAAACAATAAATTAATAAAACTTTTTTTTTTACAAGCCCTACTGATTAATCAATAATTACAATAATCATTACACACAGCCCAAAATTGTTTTGTGTTGCCTTCTATTAAATTTGCCTAAAAAAATCTAAACGTCTCCTCATGCAACAATTTTATTAACATTAAAAAATGCCATGCTAGTTACAATTTATTTTGAGCAACTGCTCCAAAGACTGGTCAACTGTATGAATCCGCAGCTCTAATATTAACACTCCAGTTGACAGATAGCTACTCAAAACACTTAACATCACTGCAAATGCATCTTCATAATTTGGTGTCCTTTCCACTTTTAAGGTGAATGCACCTTCTGTGTGTGAATAAAAGCATACACAAGCCCAGTGATTATTTTTGTATCTGTCTCGGCTGGCAGTCCTTCTTGTGAATGGCAGGGATTCAATGTCCTGCTCAAGGACATCTGTAGAACAGAAGCCTACAATGTAAGGGCTTTAACTTTGTTTCTCCTGATGAATGATGTGGATGTATGCATTGGATGCTATGCACATATGTTTGGATCAAAATATTCATTCATTCGCCTTTTTTATTCCCCCATCAAGTTGGATCAGAAATAAAGGGTGAAGGATTTGGTGTAGTGGCAGAGTTAAAGCTCAGCAGTATTCTGTGACCTTCTGCAGGCTAATAGATGGATAGCTGAGAGAAAAGAAAATGTGTATATTCCGCCCATTTAACTGCAGCACTAAATTTGGTAGTTTAATAAACACAGTCAAGGGCTCTTAAGGCAGCGATGACCTTGAAGAGTAACAAGCACCCTGCCAATTTTCCTAAACTGATGTCTGACTGTGACTGAATTCATCATGCTGAGCGTATTATGTAAATGTAGTTATGTGACCAGATGTACAGTATGATTGAAGCATCTGTTTAGTTCTATCAGAGCTATTATTACCAGGCTTATGCCGTTTATTTTTTGTTTAATTATTTAAAAATGTTAAAACTACTTCCCCTTTCTTTCTTTATACTGATCCCTTAAATGGGCTGAGTACATAAGCCATTTCATAAGTCATCATCGTCTCATACGTTTTCAGGCAAAAGAAGAATAACCAGAGTCACTTTCAGTGTAGGTTATTTCTTGAGTGAGAAAGAATATGATCTGGAATATGAAATCAAACAAGTCTCTTCATCAGCAATAAATGGCTAAATGTAAGTGCAAACAAGCTGAAATTCAATAAAAAAGCTAGAACAGCAGGGTGGAGGATTATATTCTTGTAGATTCTGGTATGTCTGTTCATAACACTTTGGCAGGTAAAGTTCATTTTCAGGTCTTCTCATTGTGAAAATACATTTGAATTACACTTTGGCACCTCTTTAAAATATTGAAAATGTACTGTCTGCTTCGTCGAGATAGGAAATCAGGTTTGTTGTTTGATATAGATGAAATTACATAACTCTAAAAAGGCCTGAAACCTTCTGATTTTAGGAACCACTGTCCTTACGTACATCCAATAAACCTAAATCTTAAACCTTAGCTGTTGTGAATCTGAAAAAGAGATGCAAAATAACCACAAAGAGAGGCAGAGAGATGTAAAACGACAACAAAGAGATGCACAATTACCACAAATAGATGCACAACGACCACAAAGAGAAGCAAAATGACTACATAGAAGAACAAAACGACTACAACGACTACGACTAAGAGATGCACAATGACCACAAGGAGACAAAACAAACCTGTGTTGCTGTTTTGTGTCAATGTACAAGGGATGGGGGGCCTTTTACATGTCTTTGTCCAGTCTGTAACCCCAAAGCTACTATACACACCCCCTTGACCCCTGTATGGTAATAGGAAATTCTCCTACCTCTGCTTGTTGTAGGTGAGGGCCCAGTCAGAATTCACCAAGAAGGAGACGGAGGTGTTTCTGCAGTATGTGCAGGACTACCGGCTGGAGAGGCAGCTGACAGCTCTCTACAACCGTATGATGGGAGTGTCGGCGCTGACCGACCAGCCCACGCTGCTGGAGGAGCTCATACTGAGCCGCAAGCCCAAACGCTGGGAGCTGAGGGAGTTCTGCGTCAAGGTTGGTGAAGGTGCAGGGCGCAGTGCGAGGTTGTGGGGGGTCTTTGTGCTCAACTCATCTCCCTAGAGGGCTTATTAAAGTTTAATTCTCTCTTATTTTACAAGTCATTATACAGAAGCACGCACCACTGCTTAACTACAGCAGGCGTTTGAGGTGACACAACAATCTAACATCCTCGTGTTACATATATATTCATATATGTATAAACACACGCAACACAGAGGAAGAAAAAAGACAGAAAAACATTCACACAGACAACTTTTCAAACTGGAACGGAAGTCCAACTGATCTGTAATCAAAAGTTGGCATTATGTCAAAATAATGCAAATACACCCAATGGGGGCATGTTTATTAGAAAATAGCACAGCTGTACAGGATTAAATATTCAGTTTCTAGACCAAAAAGATATATTTGACAGAAAAACATAGAGGTCCTGTGGGGAATGAAGCATGCTACATCTATCTTTTTGGTATGAAAATAAACTGAATATTTAATTCAGCAGAGCGGTGACCTTCTGTTGTCTTTCTTTTGAGCTGAGTTGGCAAATTCCCTTTTGCCTACATTGTAACGGTACAAATGTTTTTATCCACTAAAAGGAGCAACAACAGAGTGCTGCAATTGCTGAGCAGCTCAGGTTTTAAACTTAAAATAAAAATAGGAGCTTCAAAGCCTGAATACTGTATTCTGTGTGAAACAACAGTACACTGTGATGTCACATGTTTAAGACCCACAAAAGCCACATATTTCCCTTTTAATTTCCCTTCAAATAGGTTCCTCTCCTATTTCTTAAGGGAAAAAAAATACAAATGACTTGATGGTCACTGTTTGAGATGAAAAGTCATGAATCCATTAGTCCATCTGTCCTAGAGCCCTTCAGCAAGACACACATAATGACTGTCCACCGTGAGAAGGAATTGACCTTAATAGACACTGCGGCAGTCACAGGTTTTTTCATTATGTAAAAGTAATGATATAATTAACATATTTGCGGGCATGACCTTAGTTGGACCAGCATTTACCCCTCATCCCTCTATATGCAAGATCGTTTTAAGGGCAGTGTAAAGAATTTGCTAAGTGGTTGTCCATTCAACACAGCTGCTGTTGACACTGCTTTAAGGACAGACACTGTTTTCATCCTAGAAACTCAAAACAGAGCTCAGAGTCCACTTGTCAAGGGGCTTTAGGGTGTGGGAGAGCCAGCCTCAGCGGATTATCCATAATGCTGAAGCAATTTCTGCTTGAAATTGGTGCTGAACGAGAGATTTGTTTGGGTTGTGCTCCTTTCAAGGATTTGTTTGCACTACGACCTGATTTACATAAATGCACTGAGCAGTATGAAAACAGAGTGCTTTCACTGAAGCGCAAAGAATTGCTAAATTTGCCCTCAGTGTGCAGTCATAGCCAATCATAGTGAAGTTATCCAATGAATGATTTGATACAACCAACCTAGCTGAATTCTGTGTAATGAGCTGAGGAATCTATACTACACAGCAGAAGGTTTTACTTTGTGAGAAGGGCAGCATGTCAAACTAACTAGCAATCAAAGTCACGGCTGTAAATCATGTGTCCGGACTGGAGAACCCGACCTTGTTAAGCAAAGGAACCACATATTTGTTTCTTTAACCTTGAAGAACTTATCATGTATAAACATGATGTAGGTGATAAGTGTACGAATGATTCTGTGTTTTTTTTTCTCATGCTGGCACAAAAACACATAGAATGTCTTGTAATGACAAAACCCACATACGATACAATAAAAAATACAATCCTAAAATAATGATGCACCCATTCCATTAAATCTTCTGTAACGTACCCAAAAGATCTCCAGGCACTTAAAGGCTTTGTGTGCTAACCTTGAATAACTTTGCATAGCTCTCTTTCTTTAGGTGGTTTATTTTGAGGAAACACAGAACTGTCTCCCAGGGTCAAGTGTCACTTCACTTTAAGAGAATGATGTCATAACCAGCCCCTGCTCGATGAGATCTGGAAACACCTTTCAGTTCAGCGTAGTCGACAAAAATCCCAGATGGGTTGTTGTTCTGCTAAAGACAGTTCAATGTAATAAACAACTCATTAAAGCTGCACTAGGCATGGTTTTGATAGAAAGCTGAAATTGGTGTTTTAATTAGTGCCCCACTTATTAAGATGCAAAAGATTTGTCAAAATGATTTTCTGGTATTGGGTACTGCCACTACTAGGAAGTGACTATCGAAACCTGAAATCTGCTCATTTTCTAAACAGCAGTGAGCACATGTTCTGTTCAGAGAAAGCTGGACTCACAATTGGTAGATGTGTTTCTGCTGTCATCTCTTTGATGTGTTTAACATAAACCAGCTGTGTCAGTAAAAGTAAACCAACTGTGTGTAGTTTGCCAAAATCATATGACTGCTCTTTTTGGCTTTCAGATTTTTTCAGGAACTCAATTGTTTTACAAACATCGGAACCGGGTTTCAGTTTTGGTTCCTGGGTCGTAGTTCCTGCATCCTCAAAGTGTTTATGTGTTTTGCACAATTTCTTTGGTTCTTCAGATGTTGTTGAAATGCAAAAGGCAATGTGCTAGTGGAACTTTTAGTTCCTGAGGCTCCTAAGTTCTGGGACTACTTGCTTAAAAAGGCCCACAAAAAAATAAATCACTTCTTTAGGGCAAACAGTTGTTGCAAAGCCCAGCTTTAACAGCAGGTGTTGAAACAACCCATATGTTTCTCATTATAGGGTTAAACACATCCATGTTCCATAAACTATTTTTTAGCACTGTTTGAAAGCTCACGCTCTCTCCTTTTGCTCCTCTTGCTCTCAACAGGTAAACTTTGTTCTGGGCACTGGTCTGCTGTGCCTCTTCACGCAGGCTTCTCTAACAGGGAGAGATCAGGCTCTGCTGATGAAGACCTGGTCTGACCGCATGGGTGCCCTCTACAGGAAGATGAAGAACACAGGAGGCCGCTGCTTAGGCTATTTCCTGGAGCAGGCCCAGGAGGATATACGGCAGCAGCTCCATGAGGCTGTGCAGAACCGCGCTCCCCCTGAAGATGCGGCGGCGAGCATCCTGAAGACCCTAGAGAAAAACTACGACTGGCTGCGCTGGGCAGTGATGCTCCACCCTGCTGTGGGATCCATGGAGGATGAGAAGGACGAGGAGGCACAGGAGCAAAAGGAAGAAAAGGAAGAAAAGGAAGAAAAGGAACATGTGTTGGCAGAACAGCAGCCCAGCAATTTACTTTCTGTGGCATCTGAAGCACCAATCCCGCATGTGGTGGCGTGCTACCGTGACACACCCACTTCGCTGGACAAGAGCCGCATCCACCAGCTCATCGTGGACCTGGAGTGGAAGATCCCCAACCCGCCACCTGAGGTGTATGCTTCCATTGAGGAAGACCCGGGCAGGGCGCGGCGTTACCTGGCCTCACGCATGCTGAAGAAGCTGCAGGAAGGGCTGGGATCTGGTGTTGCCGTCCATGTGGTGCCAGGCAGGATGGAGATGAAGTGCAACTTCCCTCCAGCCTCCTACTACCTCTACGAGTACAAACACCGACTGGCTTCGGGCACCGTGTGTGTGTTCGGATGAAAGAGAAAAGAGGAGGAAACAACCTGCTGTTCTCAAACAGATGTTTCATAATCATATTACAGTATCGGCTTTATTTTTGTTGCTTTCACAGTGGCATTAACATGTCTTGCGTAATATTACTTCTAAATAAATGTCATTTTAGAGAAAAGAAAAATGACATACATGAAGTTTTTTTTTTTTCAATTAAAGCAAAATTCAATTTTTTTTTTTTTTCAACTTGGGTCTTATCTAAGCCATCCTTAGAGTTGGCTGGTCAGCACTTTGGTCCAGACTGAAATATCTCAACAAATATTGAATGGATTGCATGAAACGTTGCACAGACATTATTGGATCTCTAGAGAATTAATTGTAATGATCCCCTGAAATTTCTATCTAGCGTGTCCATGAGATCAAAATGTACAACACAGATGGTGAACATGGTAAATATTATACCTGTTAAAATATTAACATGTCAGTATTGTCATGAGCATCTTAGCATGCTGATATTAGCATTTAGGTAAAAGCCCCGCTGCCTCATAGAGCTGCTAGCCTTGCACTCACAAGTATTTGCTGAGATCTGACAACAGGGCAACTTAGTGACATTAAAGTTCAAACAGACAAGAAGTCAGACAATGTGACAGGTGGTGTTTTGTCAGATTATCTAAATTATTATTTTGAGATTAAACTAAACGTAAGTGCATCTGAAATGATAATAAGATAAGTAATAATCTTCCACTGCACACGAAAACTATGCTAAGCACCGTAGATAAAAATTGAATGGTTGGTCGCTTAACTGTGGTTTGCCTTTGTTTAAATAACTTTAGCTAACATGATGACTTGCTGTTTGACTGCTCGTGTTTCTTGCCCAGTTGTATGACGTTTTAGCAATGTTGCCCTGTTCCCAGATCTCAGCAATGAACATGAGTACAATGCTGTTTTTATTGATATGAGTGATGGCCAAAAGAGGGATTGCCTCCAGCCCCCCCAGGACCCTGTACATGGATAAGCAGTTGACGATGGATGGATGGATGGATGGATGGATAGACGACGAACGAAAATAAAGCCCAAGTTGTAAGAAACCAGAATTTCCCTTTTGTTTTGATTGTTGAATCTTTCTTGTTATGTCACTAAGATATGTATTGACTTCAATGCTAAATTGCAGCATCAACAAGGAAGCTCAAACGTTTGACCCGTCTTTACTGTTGAGGTCTTTGATTATTGCTGATAACTGATGGATCAGAAGACAGAATAATTCCCATCAGAATGAAAATAGTAAATGCTCTAAAACTGTCCATCCCATCAATGAATAAATGTCCAACTTGGGTCCACATGAGGAATCAGCCACAGTCTTATTGTCCATCACATAGTTACAGTGTCCTGGAAATATCCATATCTCTTGTCCTTTGCAAAAACAAGTCCATATACTGTTTTTGGTCTTACACAAGTCCACAATCCGAGTTCAGCTGAACCATTTTTTCTAAGTCCTTCTTGACATCTGGGAAGCCCTCCAGCGTCTCATGAAAGTCGTCCCAGGACAGAGAGAAGCATTGGCAGTCGGTCAGTGCCTTCACTGTGGCCAGATGTTTGCCTTTGGTCAGCACGCATGTCTCTGTTGTACACACAGAGGGAACCACAAGAGCATGGTTAATAAGCGAGTAAACCCTAATGACGGGGATGAGATCTGACAATTAATCCTAAATTAAATAACCAGACTTAGCAGAGTTGTTTCGGGAAGCCTGCTTAGCTCTAAACGCTGCTGAGGTTTGCTGCCAAAAGATTAGAACCTGTTCCCACTTAAAGCTCGAGAATTAAATAAATCCCCCAAATTGGAAAAGATAGATTCAATCACTTTGGTTGGACAGTGTTTTAAAAACTTACTTCTGGCTCACCTATGCATACTAAAAGTAACTTGCAAATGTCTGCCTAAAATCTATATCCAAACCGAATGAATCAGTCACTTCCATTTGACAGTAGTGATATTATCAGTAACTCAAAATACATTTTATGTGAACTCATTATGCCCACATGACAGTTGCATAAGCTTAATTTTTCCACTTCTTTACCTGTTAAGTTAATACTCAAATCACCTACCTCTAGTGGTATCCAGCCATGTTTTTATTTGTCAAAGCTCTGTCCCAGAGATTTTTTCCCAGTGCAATGGCGGGGATTGGAATTTGTTTTGCGGTGCTCACAGCACCAAAAAATGACAACAGCAACATCTTTTCCTAGAAACATTATCCCTGTTACTGTAGATAATCCACAGAGCACGCTGTCATCTGTTTTCACAGAAGTAAAGTAGTTCCGCTGGAGTGTTCACAGTGAGGTCTGTGGATTGTCCAGCCTTTTTATGAGACAGAAAATTTTCAATATTTTTAAATGGAGACAGCATCATGAGAATTAACTCATTAACCCTGAACACACCACAATGGTGAACAGAACCAAAACTCCACAGGGATGTCAACTGAGCAGACTTGCTGAGGTACTGAAAGCAGGAAGAACTAGATAGTGGATTTTGGGTCAAGATTTTTTACCAAATTCACACTTAAACCTCCAGTGAATCCAGTTAGTATTTATGTGCAACATTTATTTGATAGTACTATTATTGCTTAATAAAAATTCCGTAATGTAAAATGTACCTAACTGTGCTGTACTGTAACGACCTATTAGCTTTTACCAGTTTTTAGAGTTTCTGTTCATTCATTACATTATATAATACTTAAACAGCATTGTACTTTTGCTTTAGGTAATACAGATGTTACTAAGAATTTTGTTTTAAGTAAAGTGAATTTTCCTGATTTCTATGAGCTAAACACTGGATTTTGTCTTGGTTTGTTAGTATTTTTCTAGAGGCATAAACAATCTGCTTTGGAGTTAATTGGGTTGAACACATTGTGACACATTAGGGACATTCACTGTTGTTCTTTCACTTCCTCTCCTACTTCAAATTCCCTGAATATCACTGCTGGAAATCACTTTTTTTTTCAAATCTCTGAACACTGTTCCAGGCATTTAATAATCAGAGTAAATCAAACTCACCTCCAAAAAAGTCTCCATCACACAGTTCCCTCTCGTTTGAATCAGTCTCCATGAGGACCTGGCCGTGGTCGATGAAAAACATGCGGTCGCCTGGGACGTTCTGTCGGATGATGGCATCTCCCTCTAGGAAAACCTCATACTCCAGTTTGAGGAGGACTGCGTTGATAAAGTTTTCATCTCTGTTCTGAAACATTGGCACGTTTCTTAGCAGCCGGCTGCACATCACCATCAAGATTTGCTGTAATATAAATAAAAATATGATGTTACAAACTTGGTGTAAGATGTTAAAACCAGAAAGAAGAAAAATATAACATTATTATAAATTATGTCACCACAAAAAATTCAAATCAATAAGATGAACACCCAAAGGAACAACAACTTAACAACGTTAAGTTCCAAGCAGAACCTCTCAGTACTGCAGATAAACCAAAGCTTTACCTCTTTAAGCGCTGAGGACACTGTGTCCATGACGTCCTTCTCATGAAACCACTTCCCCCCATAGCGAGCCTGGTAGTAGTTGTTGATACGAAGCTGCAGCTCTGGTGGCAGCTTCATGAAGGTCATGTAGTGCTCCAAACGGCTCATCTGTGGAAAGTCACACTGTTTTCAGGATCCACTTCACATCACGTAATAAATGATCCACTCTCTTACTGTGCTAAGATCTACTCAAGCTGCACATTTAATCATGTATCATAATTGCATTGGTTCACTTTCCATATCTGTGTAACTGTAATTGCTAGGTTGGAAGGGAATGTCTGCATGTTGACATTTAAAATTATGAAAAATGTTTACATCTTTACGGTGCATGATGTATTTTTACCCAAGAACTAAGCCTTAACTGCTCTACTCCTGCTTTAGGTCTTTCATTTGTTCAACAGTGTAAACTAAATGATAGACTTATCACCAAGCCCTGAAGGCAGCAGTCATTAATGTTCAAGATGTAGAATTTGTGTTGTGGTAGAAGACAGGCCACATTTGTATCCATACTCTGCATCAATGACTAGCTGATAACGAGGATCAATATCAGATAACAAAAATATTGAGCATTATAGCGGCAACTTTGAAGGACTTATTAAAAGATCAACTCATTATTTATTTCTGTTCAGTGGTGGAAAGCAGCAACTATGCACATTTAGTAGTGTAATCTAAAATTTTGAGATATTTTTACTTTACTTGAATATTTTCATTTTATACTACTTTGTACTTCTACTCCACTACACTTCAGAGGGAAATATTACAATATAAAAATACTTTTTACCTGCACTACATTTATCTGACAAGTTACAAGTTATATATATATATATATATATATATATATATATATATATATATATATATATATATATATATATATATACTCTCTGAAAGGAAGCATTCTGCCTAACAAGTATTTTTTCTTTAATACGTTTAAGTACATTTTGCTGTAAATACTTTTTGTAATTTTGCTTTAGTGAGATCTTGAATGCATACTTTTCCTTAAGTAAACGTTATGAGTACTTCTGCCACTAATCTTTCTGTTTTAACTGAGTACTGTCACTTGTTTACTGCTGAGCTGTATTTTCTGATGAAGGATCACCAATAAGGACCTTGCTCTTGTACTCCTTGGCTGCTGGGTCAATGTTGGCAATCATGGTTGTAGCATTGGCCACGAGGACGGTGTACATCAGACAGCCGGACACCATACTGACCATGACCATCCACAATTCAACATAATCTGGAGAACAAGACACCGACACACGAGCACGTTTCTTGTGAAATGGTGGGTATTTATATCTGAGAGAGAATGTGATACGCCTGTGCTTTTTTTAGCGGTCAAATCAATAATTCTCACTTGTTGGTGCATCCATGGAGCCATAAGAGAGAGCAATCATTTGGGAGAGAGCTCGGAAAACTCCCCAAGAGTACTTCACGATCACTGTGGCATTCTGGAAAACATTGTTTTACAATTAGTATTACTTAATGTTGATCTGGCGTTTCACAACAATAACTAATCTTCATGAATTTGAACTACAGCATGTGATACAGATGTTCAAAGCACTACTAACTTCAAACCTACAATTTTACATACATTGTGGAAGCTGAAACTAAGAATGTCTGGTATTTTTGCATGAAAAAAATTACTTTGAAAATCAATTATTAAAATAGTTGATGACTCATTTTCTACACGTCATTAGCAGCACCTCATCAACAACCGTCATTCACACTCTATTTGTCTAGAGTTAGAGTTGTCTAAGGTTTTGTAAAATTAGGTTCACCATCAGGTTTTCTTTCCGGACCCAGCAGTCTGTGGGAAACTCCTCCAGCATAGGGACAAAGTACTGGATGCAGCCGTTCCAGTGACACAGCAGGAAAATCATCATGAACAGAGACAAGATGCGGAAGAACAACCGGACCACCTCCAAGTTTGCATTTGACACCTGTCAGAAAGAGATAACAAGAAAGCATGTGACTTGATAGGGCATCCCGGCAGCTTGGTTGGCTAGATGTATCTATCTGTTATGGAAGTTAATATGTTTTTAAATTTAATTAAACTAGGAATAGAGAACAACCATAAAACAATGGAATGAGTTAAATTCATTGTGCAGACTTTAACTTGCTGTAGTAAAGTTTTACACTTTAAAAAATCATTCATAATTTCTATCAGTTATAGCAATGTTTTTACTGAAGTAAATACTGTGATCTACAACAAAGTCAGATGGGACAAGAACAGTTAAAACAGATTATCTAAACAAGTTAAAACCAAAAGTCAGTGCACCTGAAAAAATAGAGTTAATCACTTTGCATCGTAACACATGAATGGACAGCTTGGGTAATAATTTGTTTGCTTCTGTTGTGACTGTTTCCAGATCTAGGCAACTTTGTGAGTACTGCGTACAATGTTGTTATTATTGATTGGAATGATGAACAGAACTTTGAAAAAGTTGAGAGACTGAGAGACTCAGTTTATAAAAAACAGAATTATCCTTTGATGACAATGCTCCTGATCTAATCAAATCTAACAGTCGATTAAATTAAAGTAACCAAACAGAGTTATTGCACCCAACTACCATAACACACAAGAAAATACAGAAAAGTGTGATATATTTGCCAAGCAAACAAGCTGCAACATCACCACTTTCAAGACTCTGGTTGATACCAAGTCTGAACCTCCAGGGGCAAGTTCAATCTCAAAACGTTTTGCACCAGTTTGCAATGTTTTGGGATTGAACGACATCTTTCCTTGCAACGTTGTGCAATGTTCCGCAACGGGCTTCAAGGTATGTTTTCTTCTGTTTGGTAGGCGTGTCACAGGTGTTACCCAACCAGTTGCGACAAGTTTGTAAACACAACGGTGTTAAAAAGGCAGGAAAATGCAGTGCGCTTGCGTACACAACAGGGTGTTCAGGGAACCACCCTTTCGTTTAAAAAAAAAACACTTTTTGCTACGTTTTGTCAGCGCTGAACTCGCCAATGTGGAAGTACCTTAAACCTGCATTCTTTCTAATGTCTAAAGGGGGCGACTCCACTGGCTGCAAAAAGAAACCAGAATGTATAGAAGTCTATGACAAAATGACTCTTCTTCTTACTTGATTTATTACCTCAGTAAACACTTTCCTAATGATTTTATGGTCTCAATTGCAAGTTTCAATTCTTCAATACAGCATAATGTTCATTTAGTAAATTATGGTCCCATTTAGAGGAAAATTGACGTTAGAACAAGGTATGCAGCAAGTCGCTACTGCTGCGACCTGTCAATCAGGAAAAAGGCTTAGTAATGTGTGTCCCTCATCAGCTCCACCCTCCCATCCAAATACTTCTGGTTCCAAAAAAAACCCCCAACAAGATGGTGATGGCCAAAATGCCAAACTTGAGGCTTCAAAATGGTAGTCCACAAACCAATGTTGTCCCACGTCTTTATCCAGTCTAGGGTTGATACATTAATATAACCAGTTTTAATAAATAGTGAGGCACGTTACTTTTTTAGGCAGCCATATCAGCAAGGACAATGGGACACAAAAGGATGCAATGCAAGATTGGGTAAAGGGGTGCGCTTCACAACTCAGCAATATCTGGAAGCCCAAGCAATCCAGCCAAAAAACAAAGGGCCATGTACATGGCAGCAATGTCAAGTCAATCCTAATGCACAGTTCTTGGTTTTAATAAACTGCAATGGATGCCTGTGATGGTTATGTGGCATCTTCTACCCTAACAAGACCATGACCTTGGAATTACACAGAAAGAACATCGTTACTGAAATAACGCAGGGGCGACTGCGATGGCTGGACTATGTGATTCAAATGGAGGAAGATAGCATCCAAAAGGCTGGAGATGGACTCCTCAAGGCAGAAGAAAAGCAAAGACAACCTAGCACAGGACTGTGACAAGCTAGCCAAGATTAATTTAACTTGGGGGGAGTCTCAGTGTTGCCAGGGATAGGGAATGATGCAGAGAGCTCACTGTAGCCTTTATGTCCCACAAGGGACGAAGAGGATTCGTTAAGTAAACATATTTGTTTGTGTGAAATTAACAAAACAGTGAGGATACAAAACATTCATTTCAATTTTCCAAAGCGAGAGGCTCTAGTAAACACCACTACAGCAAAACATACACCAGAATAATTTTACTTCAGCCTCCAGTAGCCGATTAAAGGCTAAATTCCAGACAGCATCCATAATGCATGATCAAGATTTATTTCAAGATATATTGTGTTTCATTATGAGATTACCACGGACATCATCAAGGTAAGTTTTAGGTCTCCTCCAGACCTCTGTTGTTTGAGTCCAATGTTTAGTTGCAAACAATTAGAAAACGGCAAACTGTGAAAACTGTGCTAAATCTGAAAACTACTCAAATGCATTGTTGCTCGTGGAGGTTTGTATCAGCTCTTGTTTTACAAATGACATTGCAAGTGTTCAAAGTCAGATTTGTCATTGGAGCCAGGCCTGGTAAGGTATCTGCAAGTAGGGGAAAGGTTGATTGAATTTCAAGATGAGCTTTGAAGACTGTCTAGCGTTTGAACTTACTTTCTCCACTTCGTTGAAGAACCTGACCAATCTGGACACTCGAGCCAGTCTGATCAGGCTGAGGATCCGCACAAACATCAGTATCCTCATCATCTTGTTGGTCTTGGAGGGGTTGTCATCGTTGTGGTATTGTAAGTCCTGGGATAATAAAATACAAATGTTCAATTATCAGTGGTATGCATCTTGTTTGATTTAACTCACATTTTATTATCATTGAATTTACCTTTTCAAATCATCTTATGTGTTTATTTTATTGCCTTTTCCTTTACATTTATTTTCTGTAAAACCGCATTAATGCTCCAACTGCTCCAAAATATTCTAATTATAAACAAATAATGTACAATTACGTGCATAATTCTTTTGTAAACTGATGAATATTGCAGCATGCTGTTGGCTGTTGCTTGAACAGTCTGCTGCTTCAACAGTCTATTCATTATTACCGCAAACAACAGTATGTAGCCAATTGGGAAAGCAGCTATGACGTCCGGTATGAACCATGTCCTCAGGTAACTGACTCGGATCCGCTTGATATCCAGAATAGCTTCCTGTGAAAGACAACAGAGCAGCACATTGAGCAGATGGATGAAGATGCCGTGCAGCATGTGCTACGATCACACGTACCATTTAACACTTAAGCTGAGTCAACATTTTAGGAGTTTATTCAAAATCAGGGGAGACAGTGGTAGTCAGATGAGATTAGCAGAGTGCTCAAAGAAAATCTAAATTAATATGACGGTGTCAGTGAATTGTTGCCGAGGCACATGTATGAATATTTCAAACAGGCAGAAACCGACCGAGAATAAATCTGGAAAAAAACAGATGCTCGTGCGAGTAAACATCACAGAGAGGAAAAACACCACAGATGGGCCATTTGTGATTGGCAAGATAGAAGTCACAAAGCATGAGCAGATGAAAATAAACAGGACATAGTCTGCATAATACTTAATTGGAAATGTTATACTTCTCATTTATCCAATACATCATAATCCCTGTTATAAAATCAAACAGCAGGTGCCAATTTTGCCGTGTCCAGGGGCTGGGGCTGGGGGGGTTGTTAATCTAGACTTTCGTGTATTGAGTAGATTACAGACGGGGCAGAGATGGATTGTACGTGCTTGCCTGCGCAGGGATTATAGTCTTCCAGATTGTGTCTGAAAATAGAGTGCAGCCACTCTCACCTCGCCGTCCTCTTCTATGATGCCCATTCGGAAATTCAGAGCCACGTCTATTAGGAACAGCGTGTCTGAAAACACGTTAAATCCCTCCCATGCCAGCCCGCTGTTTCCGTCCAGAAACGCTATCTCCATGGGAATCCCAATCAGGTTCAGAAATGTGATGGCCATCATGCACATGATGTAGTAACTCCTACAGGAAAAGATCACAAAAGCATATGCAATCATGTGTGACTTCATGAGTAAGAGATATTGTTTCACATGTAGGTTTGTAGTGGAAAGTCTCAGTTCATTTGCCACAAGGACTCATTAGACAGTCATACTTCAGCCGGTAAGGCAAGCTGATTTATGCACACTAAATACTCTGATACTGTAACTGCACATCTCCTCAGCCAGGGTCCAATTGCCAGGCTCAAATAACACTGCTCTCTGATCCCAGTTGTTTCATTCCCTCTCTGTTTTCACTCCATCTGATCACCTTACAAACTCATCATAACCGCACGGATGCAAAAACCAGCCATCTGTGAAAACATGTTCCTTAAAGATGTCATTCGAGCCACTGTTTTTTCCCTTCTAATCCTCCAGGATTGTCTTTAAAGTCTCTTTACAAAACTAGAATTTCAAGAGTGATACTGATTATCAACCTTCATTTGTTCTTTTAGGTTACATGTTTTGCTTTAATTCTCTGTACACTTTAGACAAATTATACTATATCTCTTTTTCCATTGTTTTCACACAAGGTTTTCTCATGTGCTTGCAACACAAATCATTATCAGAATCAATTATTGCATTGTTGCTAAAGCTTAACACTAATTAGTAATGCAATATGGAAGAAATATGGAATGGAGCTGCGACTTACACTTCTGATTTATCTACTCATTATTTTCTTAATTAATCAATTCATCTATTAAAAGTAAATACTGAAAAATGCAAATTTTTCAAAACCTAAAAATATTCCTTTTACTGCAGAGCAAGAGAAAGAAAAACAAAGCAAATCTGCAAACTTGATAAACTGTAACTAGAAATTTTTCTATTGATTGTCAAAATAGTGCAGAACATTTTTATATCAACTGACTAATCAATGAATCCATTAATCATTTCTAATACAGAGAAAGATAAATGAGATAATACTTGAAAATTAATCAGACAATCGCGTACAAAAACTTCTACACAACTTTTAAAGGAACGGTCACACTACAAGTGGAGGTGGTGTCTCCGTACAGGACTGGCCTGAATCTATCAAATATATTAAATACCTCATGAGGCTGAACGGGTGGATGACAAAGACTCCGCTCTGCAGCTGTCGTATGCACTCCTTCTCCACGGCCATTTCGCTGCCGTACATGTACAGGGACTGTCTGTTTAGCTGCGGGAGGAGCAGGGCTCTCCATCCACAGGTGGCTGTGGTGCATCCTACTGCGGGACCTTTTAGTTTGTCCATCGTCCGACTTCAGTCCCCTCATCAGCCGAACACACAGGCCATCCTCGCTCTGCTGCTGCTGCTGCTGCTGCTGCTGCCTCCTCTTCTCAGGACAAGTGGAGTCTAACTCTACCAGTCCTGACCTCCCCTCTTGGTCACAAGGTAATTTTCCATGAAGGCTCCAAACCTCAGGGCTTATTGAAGCTGTGTGGAACGATGTGAGTGGATACCCGCCTTTCTGCTCCCTCCCTCCCTTGTTCTCCGCCTGCCTCTCTCTCTATTTCTGCCCCCACCCCACCCCAACCCAACCCTCCACTTCTTTTCTTTTTCTCCCAGCTCATCAACTATTCAGTGTCTGTGTCTCATCTCCACATGAATCAAGCCAATGTCAAGGGGGTAAGGTCCAGCTCACATTAATATTGAAGACAATGGCATGTGTGTATGTGTAGAGGGGATCAAAATTATGTTTTTTATCATGTGAACAAGACATCTGCCAGCGTGTGCAGGGACTAGCTCAGTCCTGGCCATCTCTACCAGGAATGTAATTAAACACTGTACTGTGTCACCGGATGCTGTACATATGCTCGCAGATCTGAGCCAACTCCTGTGTTGTTTGTTCGCATATTTCACATCAGTAATAAAACAAAACAAATATATTTTCAAGGATCACAAAGTAGAAGATTGGGATTTTATTCAACTGGATCTTTTTACAGTTTCTTGGAGGGTTGGCAGGATTGCAGCAGAGTTTGAAAAATGAAAAATAGAAATGATATTACAGGACGTAGCAGCACAGCAGGATTAACTGAGGGGTCATGTCAGTGGGGAAGGTGAATTACAGGCAGCTTAGTGCATGAAATGTGTCCAATAATGGGAGGACATTTTATGACATTATTATATATATATCTTTTTTTTTCAATCTTTGGACGGTATTTTCAGGAAACACTAGATGTGGTTTCATGAAAAAAAGAAGACAACTTTCCCCACTTATATATAGATCAATTCCACTAACAGGGTAATGTCTTTTAGTTCAGAGTTTGAGGTCGATTGAATTGATGCCGGAAAAGATGGCCTTTATTCTATTTTTGTGAGCCCTGTCCAGGTGCACACTGTCTCTGTCTGAGATAGGTTTCAGCCCCTTGTAACCCTGAGCAGGATAAAATGTTTTAGATAAAATGTTTTAGAAAATTGTTGGATATCATACCTATTGTGGTTTGTTTTAAGCAGTGTGTAAGTGTTAAGCATTAAACCCAAGGTATATTATTAAAATAATATAATAATCTTGTTGTGACAACCTGATCTGTTCGACTAAAAGTGAACTGTGAGCCAGATCAACTTTGCTACCAACCGAGTGTTCAAAACAGGATGACACAAACGACAAAACTGGTTGTTTTTCATTGCCTACTAAAAAAAACCTCTCATGTTAAAGGTAGGAAACTAAAACTATTTGGTTAAGGTTAGGGAAAGATTGCAGTCATGGACAAATAAACACAAACATGAGTCTATTAAACAGGGAAAGTATAAACTTTCTTAGCTAGTTTCGCAGACTCAATACTGGACCTCTCTAAAGAGTCTCGCTGTCATGACCGTCCCACAGCTCACCCTCTTCTGGCGCAGTTGTTTCCATTGTTGTGTGTGTTGGTATGTGACAAGATCTCTTTTCCAACAATGGACAAGAATTATAATACAGTACATGTGAAAATATAAAGTCGCTGCATAGCATATGCAGATTAAACAGAGAGTGCTTACCATTCTGCTTTTCTAGATGCTGATGTGGGCACACAGGAAGAGGGTCAGGACTTGCACTGTGAACCTACATCTCTTCTCCTTCAGGGTGCAGATTTATACCGGGAACACCAACACAAAGACATTCTTCAGATAAAATTGAGAGCGAATTAAAGTGTATTTTTCATTTGTGTCGCACTTCATGGTCTAATCCTGTGGACAGCACAGCAAAGACTGCTGTGTGTATGTGTTTCAAGTAGAGGTGCATATCTATCACACAGCACAGAACAAATGAACAATATGCTTACTTGCTCATTTATCTAGCACACAGCTGGCCCTCTAACTAGAATAAGTGAGTCAGTGCTTCTGCTCATGCACTGCTTTGTTGTGCTGACGCAATGTAAACCCAGTAGACATGTGAAAACAAACACATACCTTCAGTATTGTAGAAAATGATCATATTTCATATTACAACACTCCCAAGCCATTGTATATAATAATAATTCTGTGTGGTGGCTTTCAATTCATACAGTTCTTAATTTTTTCATCATCAATACGAAGTGTAGGCACATTTTACACATTGATATTTCCCAGGAACACACAACAGTTCAGTGCTAGAATTAGTCAATTAATTGATTAATCAATTAACATAAGAGTACCACAATTTAGGCAATAAATTAATAATTAAAGTCATTTATCAAGCAAAAATGCTAAATACTTTCTCTGTCTTATATCATTGTAAACTGACATCTTTACTTCTTTACTAAGATGGAAGTAAACACAATGACACATTGACACTGAACAGTTAAATAACAAATGTTTTATAACTCACAGTCGTATTAGTGCCTGCCTCCATCAGGACAGGCCCAGTCTCCATCATATGCTGACGAGGCCGCTAAAGATCATGTGCTGACTGGCAGATAAAGTCACTGCATAAGAAAAATTCTTACTTTTTGAGGAGGATGATGAAAGCTGATGTCTTGAATCACGTAAACCACACTTGTTGCAGGAGAGTGTTGCTATTTTTTCCAATACAGTATCAACCTAAGACTTTAAGACAGTACTCAACATGCACTTATAGCAGGTTTTGTAGTAGCTGTTGATACGATAACGCAGTACTGGGAAGCTTCAATGGACGTGTGGGGCAAATTCCCCAACAGGGAGAGTGAGACAGTTCATTTGGCAGTTTAAAAAAGGTTTATCTGAATTTTTATATTATGATATGTGAATATAGTGCAGTAGCAGCAACTTCATTATTTTTGTGCAGCAGAATAATGCATTTTCATTGTGTATATTTTTTGTAAGTCAGGGAAAGTTTAGAATTTGTGGCTTTGTGTGTGTGTGTGTGAGTGTGTGTGTGTGTGTGTGTATGTCTGCACTGTTAAAAAAAAAAAATTGAACAAACAGAAATATTCCGGCAGCTGGGGCGCCAGAAAAATACCGTAAAATAACAATAAATAACCCACTCGTAAAAATACGGTAATATTCCATAATTACAAGTCTGTAACTTTAATTTTACATAAAATCTTGTACAATTTTTGGGGATTTTATTGTTTAATTAAGAACATATAAACCTGTAAAAACAATTAAATTACCTTTAAATATAGTTGAACACTGCTATAATACAAATAATCAGGCTTAAAATTTATAGTAGAGTGCTGCTTTTAATTGAGTTTTATTATATAATTTCACATAAAAATCTTGTTAATGTAATCAATATATAATGTAAAAGAGATTGATACAACACCCGCAAATACTAGATTTTCCTTTAATAAAAATGTCAAAATACTGTTCCAAAACTGGTAATCAGCTGTGTGTGTGTGTTCATTGGACTTTTGGACCATTCTTCTAGTTCTTCTAGAAGCACATTTGTGAGGTCAGGGACAGATGTTGGATGAGAAGGCCTGGCAGTCAGGCCAGTACCATTCTCTTGGCAACTGTCAGACCCAGACTTATCCATCAGATTGCCAGACAGAGAAGCGTGATTCGTCACTCCAGAGAACACATCTCCACTGCACTAGTGTTTAGTGGCGGCGTGCTTTTCACCATGTATCCGACGCTTTGCATTGCACTTGGTGATGTAAGGCTTGGATGCAGCTGCTCGGCCATGGAAACCCATTCCATGAAGCTCTCTACGCACTGTTCTAGAGCTATCTGAAGGCCACACGACATTTGGAGGTCTGTAGCTCTTGACTCTGCAGAAAGTTGGCAGCTTCTGAAGATGCGCTGACCCCGCGCTGTGATTTTATGTGGCCTACCCATTCAAGGCTGAGTTCCTGTTGTTCCAAATCGCTTCCACTTAGTTATAATACCACTAACAGTTGACCTTGGAATATTTAGTACTAAGGAAATTTCACAAATGGACTTATTGCACAGGTAACAAGCTTGAATTCACTGAGCTCCTTATAGAAGCAGTCCACATGCCTAGGTGCTTGATTTTATACACCTGTGGCCATGGAAGTGATTGGAACATCTGAATTCAATGATCAAACGCTGTCAAGCTTTTTGGATATAAGGAACGTCAAGCTAGTGTAGATCATCTGCCTTTTGCTTATTGCTCACACTTAATGGGAAGAGCTGGTTGTGGAGGGGGAGTGGTTATCTGCTCTGTCATTTTTGCAGCCAGGTAGCCACCAGACTTTCTGTGGCGAGGGCTATGGACTAACACATCTCCAGAATTTGGTCACCATACCAATTATTAAGGGAAACTTACTTAATGTCTTGCAGACCTTGGATAGATATACTGTTGATTTTGTTTGCCATTGTTTATGTTTTCCAATTGAGCTAAGAACCCAAGTGGTTTCTTTAGGTCATCCAGAGGTGTTGTTGTGCAAAGTCAGTTGAATCTGAAAATGTACTTTTGGCATACAAAAAACTTGCAAACAAATGGATTCATTTATCAAACTAGGTTGGGATTTACAGAATTGTCAATTTAAAATTTAGCCATCAAAATATAAAAACTGACAATGTACTGAAAACCTTTTTTTATTGCAAAAATATTTAAAAGTGTAAAACTTATTCATGAAATTAAAAATATGGGTTGCCAGCTCTTGCCAAAAAGCATCCTCAACATTACAGTGAAAGTAATTTACTGTGTATAACCTTTTTTACACCATCCATCCATCCATCTTCAACCGCTTATCATCTGAATTAGTAAACTATATTTTTAAAATAGTTTTCTCTTATATTTTAAATGTTGAATAGGAATGGGGAAATTCATCATTTAAAAGGTAAAAATATAGTAAACAAAATGACAACAAAAAAGTTTAACAGGGACTTTGAGAATAAACATGTTTATTTACTAGCTTTTTAGCTAACAAGTTTAATTATTTTAGCTAGCATATGAGGACCTTGAATAAAATATTTTTATTTGTTTGTTTTCAAGGTCAATAAATAAACAAATCCCATTTTGTCAAGCCTAGAAAATAAAATAAATATCACACTATGCATTCAATAAACCAGGGGCGTTGCTAGACATAAAGCTCTACTGGGGCACAGGCCCCCTCATCCCCCATGTAATTATTAGATTTTTTTTTGATTGAGGTGTGTGAAATGTGTTAGTATGTGCTTCACCAGCTGCCCTTGCTTAGCTCATTAATAGTGGTCATGTCAGAAAGGGATTTGACCGGAGCATAAGCACACTATGTCACCACCTAAGAAGAATTGTATCTAAACAATTTGCCACTGCTGCACAGTCACAACTGACACTGCATTGCTCTCACTACTACCTCTCCTTTAAAACAGTCTGTCTCTGTAATACGCCTGAATGAAAACTATTCTAGAAAGATCCTCATAAAATCTGTTAAGACTGATGCTGGCTGTACATCTCTGGCTTTGCTGGTACTGGCTGAAACTGCCTGTGTTTCACCTGGGCCTGTGCTGGTATTGGATTTGGATCAACTGCGCTTGTACTGGCTTATGATCCAGCATCTACTTTACTGACAAATTTCTTCATGGTCAGAACAAACACTTGATGCCAATCAGTGGATCACTTCACAAATCTGAGGCAGAACATTCCAAACTAGCCTATTATGATAAAATCTGTTTCCAACAAATATGCACGAGTAAAATTAAGTGAAATCTTTTTCAGTCCGTTTTTCCAAAATGATCATCTTAATAGAAAAAGTAAGTGCTAATTTGTTCATGATTCAAATGAATAAGATCAAACTTTTATTGAATATTTATTGAACATTTGTTATATTGTTATTGAAGAAAATTATACTGCAATAATTATTGTTATTTGTTGATTGACCAGTCCTAATTTATACTATGATTTGACTGAATAAGTGATGTGTATTATTTACTGAGCGATGTACATCCATATTGCCTAGTCTGTGCTGCTAATCAACATTTTAATAGTCAATGTGAATCCTTTCCATCTTGCATTAGTCCAGAGTTGTAACTAAACCTTCACTGAGAGACAGATAACCTCTGTCTCGTTTTAAAAGATGTGGGGCTATGAGGAGTGCCATCACATCTGTGTGTTGTCTAGACTGGTCCCACTAATGCTGCTGCTGCAATGCAATAAAGTCTAGGCTGCGGACTGTAGCACGGCTCAGCTGGGCTCTTGCTCTCATCACATTTCGTGCACGCGTGTATGAGCGCATATTAACGCCCGACGTAGTTATCGTTTCCGTTCTGCAGTTTATAAAAGTTGCCCATCGCCATTTATAAAGCTTAATAAATACTCGTATTTCACTCTAATATTGTTCAGTCACAGTCTGGGAAGCTAACGTTACCATGACAGACCTCGCTGCTCTGCCCAGCTGGTTAGCAGGACAGACAGACAGAGATTCACTGCAGCTGCACATGAACCTGCTCACATCAGACTTTCAGAGGAGAGGACACACGTTTACCTTTATTTTGTCTTCTTGTGCACAGAAGGATAGTCCCTCTGTCCTCTCATCCCCGTTATAAACACCCGATTTCAACAATGACTCGTTTTTGCGACATTTCATATCGTTAACTAGCTTCCGTACCGCTTCACATTAACCGGTAGTTTATTTTGAAAGTGTAACCGGGCGTTGCATATATATTACTGCTACCTTGACCGGACGTTGCAGATGCAGCCAATTGTTGCTAACTTGACCGCGGAGCCCTACACGTCCAAAAACGTAGCTAAGGGTTTTTGACAATTTTAATACAGGGGCACGTGCCTCAGTAAAAAGGGGCTAGCGACGCCGATGCAATAACCTCACTGTACATTCATAGACGCTCTGGTCTCAGTATTTGTCATGCTAATGTCTTAGCTCTCTCTTCCAGGCTTTGCTACAGAATACTACTTTTCCCAGAAGTCTGAGTTGTCGCTTATGATCACGTGAGTTTGAATAAAACGCCAACACGTGGGTTTCCTCCCTCCGTGTTGTTGGTTTCCTCTTGAAGGTGAATCGTCTAGCTAGCGTGTCCCACCGGCCTCCAAACAAAGTAAGTTACGTAACACAGCTTAGTTAAGAGGGACACTACGTTTTTGTGTCAAATGAATCGTGTCGTTTATCTGTCACGACACCGGTAACAAGCGTCTATGTGAACTTTAATGTCATCACTGTTAGCAGCTGTTAGCTAACTTTATGTTAGCCGGCGTGAGTATTATGCAATGTCTCCAAACTGTTAGCTAAAGCTGGGAAACCACAAAACAGCGACGCGCATGTTGGATCTGTTTAGGTTTCTTTTCCTCCTACCACCTCAGATGTTAAAGACTCAATATTTTAAACATGCTCTCGTCCTGTCTGACCTGTGTGCAGAACAGACCATGCTCTCATTTTAGCTAACAGCCCAGCTCCTTCACTGTCAGTTTGTGGGTGTAATAAAACTTGTAATGTTATTGCAACAACGACTTATAACCAGTAATCAAATTATGGCATTTTAGAATTACAAAGGTGCCCGGTCATATTTACCCCAAACCCAAAGGTGACGTCTTGAGTGTTTGTTTTTGTCTGACCAACAGTCCAAAACTCAAGAGATTTAATTCACTGTGATTTAGGGCTGATATATTCTCGTATTCGTTTAAATAAGTAATTTTTCAAGCAAAATTGTTCCCTCCTCAGCTTCTCAATTGTGATGCTTGCTTTTCGTTTTATCTAATGTCGCTTTTAAACTGAAGTTTTGTTTGGACAAAGCAACCAATGATGACATAGCCTGCTGCTGTAATTATATTGGTGAGCCATTTTGCACTATGGCTAGCAGATTAATCAATAATGAAAGATTTAAATCTTACAAAGGCAGCAACTTCTCACACTTGAGCAGACCACTTATGTTTTGTGTCTTTGCTAAATTGATTTAGCTGACTTTAGAGTTAAATCTTGTGTCACTAATTGATTCAAGACTTAAAATGCGTGGACTTGATCAAACACAAACATGACAATAATAAATTTGCTGAACAGGTGATGCTTTCATAGCTAATTCTTCCTCCCCTGCAGGACCAACTGTCATACTTGTATAGTTTTAACTTTACAGCATTTGTTTATTACACCAGATTGATTCTGTTTGCTCTACATCGGTCATGATTAAAAATTCTCCATGTGGCGTTTTCCCTTGATGACTTTTTAACTTGTCAATGTATGAAAAGCACAGGTAATACTAATGACATTAAAGATGGCAGTGTTCCAGTAAGACAGTTTGCACAATACTGGACCCTGAAACTTAAGCATGGGTTTTAACTTACACCTGTGATTTTCTTACTTGTCAAATAGTCTTCTGTAGAAAAAGGCCTGTTGCTCCTTCCTTGAAGTGGGGCTGATCAGCAGAGATAACTGGAAACATTTGGGCTTGTCTTGTGGAAATGTTTTAAAGTGTGCCGCCCCAAAATCCCAAATTTGCTAGCCAAGTGAATTAAATCATCTAATGTCTCCAGTTAAGCCAGAAGATGTCAACTGTGTGTGCAGCTAGCGTGGAGCCTGCTGCTCCTGTGACTGAGGCCACAGAGCAGAAGAAGCCACTGAAACCATGCTGTGCTTGTCCAGAGACGAAGAAAGTCAGGGATGCTTGGTAAGTACCTGGCCCAGATGGACTGAAGCTTTTTCCTTGACGCAAGTGAAAATATTGACTCCTTCCCATGTTTGTTTCCTCCAGTATCATTGAAAAGGGAGAGGAGAGCTGCACAGACCTGATTGAGGCCCACAAAGATTGCATGAGGGCACTTGGATTCAAGATTTAACTACTCCATTGTGTGTGTGTGTGTGGTATGTATCAAGTCCAATCATCACATGCGCACACTTGCACAGGTAGCTTTTATTAGTATCACCTTGTTTGCAAATACAACATCCTTGTTCTGGGTCATTTGTATCCTTCAGCTGTTGCTGACGTTGTGTACAAGCTGAACCACCAGTCTAGAACATGGTGTACTGGCATGCATTCTAATTAAGTGAAAGCAAGTAAGACAAAACAGGTTTATAATTGCATTGGTGCTGGATTACAATTCACAATTTGACTGTCATATATAAACCTTATTATGACTCCGTGTTGACACCACAAATGTCAGTAAAATAGTCATTATCAAAATTTGCCCTTTTGAAATGCTCAGTAGAGTGGGTCAGTTAACTAAAACATGCAATCTATTTGCAATTACGGCGCTTACTCAAATCTTGTGTTGCTTGTATTTGCTCTGTACTTTATTATTTTTGTCCTTTCATTTGTTGCCTACATAATTGAAACTTTATCTCAATTTGCATGCCTGTACTGGTGACACACTTGAGTTGACAGGCCTCTGCCAAATGTATTCTGACAACCTAAGGCCAACTTGAATCGAATCAGTGGTGTGTAAAATAAGCCCCAGACCTTTCTGTGAATGATGTTAAAGTCCCAAATTTAATTTAACCCCAGATATTTGCGGCATTTGACTTCACCAAGTTGTTTTCAGCTTCAGTTTCTGCTCATTAGGTTTGTTGTGTCTTGGCTTTTGTTTTTATCCATTGTTCTGCATAAAACTGCAGCGTCAGACTATAACATCATGTAACTACTGGTGAGCTGATGGGAGTTATGTGTGGTGCGGAGTGGGGTGGAGCAAGTGTCTGATGTGCTCTGATGACCACACACAACATGCCTGAAGCCATGGGGCTCAGCTCTCGTTGCAGCTGTTCATATGGCCTGACTGTGTGGCATCGCCTTAATGTTCACTTGCTCTTGTAAAGGAGAGATATTTTAGGCGGTAGGCTGGCAAAAATATTAATTATGTTGTAGGTCGTCTTTAGTAATACTTAAAATAAAAATACTTAATGTTCAACTGAATACTAAACCAAGGCCTCATCCTGATTGTAAGTTTTTGTTTTTTCCTCTTAAATTTCAGTTAGCATTACATTTTTACCAATAACATTAAGAGTATGTCTCGGCTATTTATGGTCTTTAATATTGCCTCATTGATCTCTCTCTCTCCCCCCTCCCCTGCAGTTTGTGCTGTGGAAGACTATCCTGGATACCCCACCACTGCCCCCCCCCCCATTTATACCTCAACAGGAAGGGACATGTGGTGATGCACTTAATGGCTCTGATGGGTTTATTGTCTTTCTGTGAAATTGTTTTTTAACGTCTTCAGAATTTGAGAAATATGTGTATCTAAAATTTAATAAAAGTCCTATGCAATACCATTGTTTTTGGTCTCTTATTTTGATGTAGAATAGATGCTTTTAAGTATTTTGGTAAGAATCATTCATGTAATTTAAAGGTTCTGTATTGAAGGTCCATTCTCTTGGTGAACGGCTGCTTGCCACAGTTGCTGTCCCTGGTATGTACTTAGGCTTAAAAATAACTCCTACCCCTGCAAAGTCAATACTTAGCATATCTGCATTCTTCCTCTGTTGTGTGTCACTCATAGTGAATTGTGCCTGGCAATAGATGTGTTTGGACACATTGACAAAACATGCTGGAAATGCTATGCTACAGCAATTCTGCAGTATTAAGTGTAACTGGTTGGTCCTCCATGCCACTATTTTGCTTTGAGGAGTCCCCCCCCCCCCCCCCCCCCCTCAGTTGCATCTTTATAATGTGATTATCCACTTACTTGCTATATTTTGAGTACTTTGTATGCTGGTTCAAATCCATGACTACAGCAGTAAGCTGGTGTGCAGCTGGAAATAAGTCAATTGTAGCACCTGGCAAATCCTTTTTGTCAAGTTTTCACATTTTCTGTATTACCTGTTGAACAGTTTTCACATAGCTTTGTTCAAAAACTGATTGCTCAAAGTTTAAGTTTAATACTGCTCTCCCAATATGTGCACAAACTCTGCATCACCTGATTTGAGCAGTTGGGCTTAATGTGAACACCTGCAGCAGCACGGTGGATGTATGCAGTGAGTGTAAATAAATAATAAAAATCTTAATGATGCAGAATTTCTACACTTTTAAGTCATCTCCTTTGTTTAAAAATATTCTCAATGGGACAAATATGCCGTGGCAGCATGGGTTAAGAAGACACTGCAATTATAATAGATCTGTAACTGGGTGTAAATATTTTCAAATGATTCTACAAAAATATCCCTAATCCCAAAATAAGGATTTGTCATCTATACACAAGAATATTTAATGATCTTATGGAGCCAGATTATTAAGTTAATTAGTTCTTACAATACCAGTTCTCATCTGTCCCACATCACACAACTCGAAATATTCTTAAGTCTGTAGCTTCATTCATTACAGGAAGAATACTGGTTCTTATTTGTGTAAATACAAGTATTTGGCTTCTGGATAGGGCCACAATTTTTTTATATATTTACATCTTTAATTTTTATTTTGACATGTATTCTGTAATATTTCCTGTTCATATTCTTGCTCTATTTAAAAAAAGGAAAAGTAAAGCAGGGAAGAGTCCCCCTGGCTGGGAGGACAGCCAGATATGTGAGGTGGTGGCTGGTGTTTATACCTGAAATCTGACCTCCATGGTCACCCTACTTATTTCAGTGTTACTAAATATGCACCGGCTGAGCTGCTCTCCTGAGTGTAAACCGGACTCATGAAGGTTGGATGGTGTTGTAGCTGTGGAGGAATGTGTTTTTTCTGTTGTTTTTTTAAATGTGTGTAAAACCTTCGAGGCTCTGTCTCTCAGAGATATTTGTTATAGTCCTTCTCCTCCCGTTTCCTGCCTCTGTCTCTCTCTCTCTCTTTCTGTTATGTTAAGTAGCGGGCCTGCTTTCTGTCCACCTCTCTTTCCTCCTTGGGTTTCAATTCCAAACATGGTTATCCTTCTAGGGCTCTATCAACGCCCCCCTACCCCCCTCCCTTATCCTTTCTCTTCCAGCTGTTGGCTCTACAGTGCAGGCCGGTGGGTGAGAGATATAGACAGAAAAGAGCAGCAAGGCAGACGACGGGAAGACTCAGAAGGGAGAGGAATGAGGGACACATAATGAGAGAAGAAGAAGAAGAAAGCCATTCCAGCTGTGTTTCTATAACAAACAGAGCCGTGAGAACTTCTTCACATTGAAGAATTTCCCACTGCTCGCCAAGGGAACTAACATTTACATTTTTGTTTGGAATTAGCTGTTTATTTTATTTTTTTTATCAAGCTTTAATTCAAACAAGAAAAGTTACAAAACTAGTTGTAACTGCTGATGGGACAGAAATAGTACCACGTTACATTGGAAAAGTTTACTTTGTTTTGTAGTATCAAAAGCCTGTCTTCAGTCATTTTAAACATGAACACAGCCAACTCGACTCTGCTGGACAGCTTGTTCTTTGCCCCTCTCTGTGATGGCTGGACCAACAACACAGAGGGAGCCATCTACCAATTGGGCAACACCGTCCTATTCCTGGGCTACATGGGGGGCAGCGGGGCCTACGGGTGCCTCTTCATCTTCGGCTTCCTGACTCCCGCCTTCGCGTGCCTGACCCTGTGGGGCTGGATGACGATGTGCGGCCTGGACGTCTTCACCTGGAACCTGCTTCTGCTGCTGGCCTGCTTGGTTCAGATCTGCCACCTTCTCTACCGGCTGCACCAGGAGGGCATGCGTAATGAGGAGCTGACCAACCTCTACCAAGCGGTCTACCTGCCGCTAGGCGTGCCCATCCATGTGTTCAAGGAGATCGCTAGAGCCTTTGAGAACAAGGTGGTGGAGCTAAAGGCAGGAGAGACGTACGCTGTGGAGGGCAAGACGCCCATCAACCAGCTGTCCTTTCTGCTGTCTGGGAGGTGGGGAGTGTGTGCATGTGCCTGTCTGTGTACATCTACACACAGTACACCTGTACTACATAATGAAAACCCCTACAATGAACTGTATCACAGAATACAACCAAAACACTTAAAAGCATCAATTTCAAATACTTTATTACAAGTAAAACATTGAAAACTTTTCTTACATCTCACGTACTTATCTCCTCTGAAGTTTATATGTTGCACATGTTAGCAAACAGTTGCTTATTTTCCCATCCAGCAGACATAGAGCAACATTAGCATCAAAGATTCTGATCCATTTGGAGCTGTGTTTATGGCCACTTGATGAAAGCCAATATTCTCTTTGCTTCTAGCTCTGTTTTCAGTCTCTACCACCTCCCGAGGACAGTTTCTGGCTCTATAGCTGCTATATATTGCTCTGTAGTGCTGATAATTATCTGTGAGTTCATTGTTATGAGCAAGTCCTTTCACTTTACACATAGTGATTTGATCCATTGTTGATGTCACAGTGTACTGACACGCACTGTACATCGCAGCAGCATCGTGATAAGTTAAACCTTTGGATGTCAGCAAATCCTTTTGTCCTGTTGGGGGTGTTGGCTAACTTCGGTATTTCTCAACCCGGACCCTAATTTCCCATGTTTTTGAAATCGGTCCATTATTGAGTGAGCACGCAGTGAAACAGGGCAGCAATGTAATCCTTGCGGGCAATTGCGCCCTGTCAAAGTACGCCGCTAAAGTGCTTGTTTTTGCCACTGACAGGCTCAGAAGTGTGGAAAGAATCTCTCTACAGAGACCTTTTCCCAGTAATTTTACCTCGCTGAACACGGCATTTGCTGGTCTACCGATTCCTCGGTCGGCTTGATTGTTTGTGTTATTGTGTGACTTTGTTATTTGTTTGTCTTATTGTGTGGTTTTGATGTTTTCAACAGTTTTGTGACACAAAAGTCACAAAATAACACAAACTAATGGATCAAGGCAGCGGTGGACAGAGCTAAAATTTCTATTTTTGTCAATGACTAGAACGATATGTGACTGTTTCTGGTGAAACAAAAAGAATTTGACTCTTTATAAAAAGGTCTATCTCTGTAGGGATCCTTTTCCATAATGTAGTCAGACACTTCCGAAGCAATCTGAGCCCTGTCCGTGGCAAAAACAAGCGCTTTACACAGTTTCCGCACCGTAATGGATTAGATGCTTGCCTTCGGCACAAAAACTACCTGGTTCGAGACCAGGTGGAAACAATGACCTGTTTTTGGATGGTGATGGTGCAGTGAGAGACCTGGGTTCGAATCCACTGTGAGACACCAATGTGTCCCTGAGCAGGACACTTAACCCCTAGTTGCTCTTGAGGTGTGTGACCTCTGACATATATAGCAATTGTAAGACGCTTATAAAATAAAATAAAAGATAAAGATAAAAGCATCAGCTTAATGTAATGTATTTTAGCGGAAGTACTTTGACTGGCTCCATTTGCATCCCTGTTTTGCTGCTGCCGACTGCAGCGTGCTCACTCAGTTTCAAAAAATGTTTTTCCAGTTAATCACATAGACACAAATCCATGGGAAAATAGGGTCCAGGTTGAACAATACTGAAGTTACCCTAACACTAAAACAGAAAGTAATTCCCTTATTTATACCACAAGTATACACTGTTTCATTTATTGGTTTAAATTCCTCTTGTAGTGATAAAACAAAAATACACCAAATGTTAAGACAAAGAAATCTCCTACTTTAACTGTCTACTGCAGAACGGGATTCTAATTTCTGTCTTCTTTCGGCAGCATGTAACCGTCACAGGAAATGAATCCTCTTCATCCAAACACAGTAGAGCTGCATTAGATTTCACAGTCCTTGAGCCTACACAAGAGAAATGTTGTAAACAGAGTATTTTTGGCTGTGACTCATCAGTGTGCCGTCGCTCTGCACTCTGCCAGCTGGTAAAATGATATCTTTGTACTTGGGAGAGGAGTCGACGCTGACTGCTCCTCTTACCTTGAATTAAATGTTGGCCACGCTGCTGACATCTCAGCGTAGCCTACGAGCTAAATTTGGAACAACAAAACAAACAAACAACAAGCTAATATAGATTTTGGTGGCTTGCTTGTCATTTTTTCTTCTTGTTCATCCTTCTTGAACTGACTGTAGGTACATTTCTTTCAGATTTAAAGATTAGGGTTTTTTTTTTTACTTAAGACATTTCCACAGTCTGTAACAATTTGTATGACTACACTACAAGGCCAAAAGTATGTGGACACACAAATATCTAATTGTTTAACATTCATTCCAAAACCATGGGAAGGACAACTTTACACATGATTTTGGAATTTGGCTGCAGTGATTTGCTCCCATTCAGCCACAAGAGTATTAGTAAGGTCGGTCACTGAAGACTGGCCCGAAGTTGACATTCCAGTTATTCCCAGATGTGTTGGGGATCGGGGCTCTGTGCAGGCCAGTCAACTTCTTCCACACCAAACAGGAA